AAGGATGAACTGACCTTCCAGTTGAGCAAACCATAGTTCCGGGTCGTTGGGATTAAAAAAACGGGGCTCCTTATTCCAACTCTGCATGCCTCCATTGGTAATATGTCCTTGTTAGTCTCCATTTCCTTAATCCGGGTCACCAGTGAAGTGGATGCGGTGTATATTCAGGTTGTCCTGTTCCACTTACTAAGTTGGACTAATCGAGGACTATTACTTGGACTATGTTTTCCAATAAATAACACTCGGACTATAAAGCAAACTGATTTAATTTAGCGGAAGATAATTACAATACATTGACTAGTCAAACACAGGTAAAGAGAGAGAGTACGAGTATGAGTATAAGTATGAGTATGAGTATGACTGTGTGTACATTATAAATGATGCGAGCTATTTATACTAAAAAGGGTAATCCTTACTAACATCACAAAGGCGAAAGTTTGTACGTATGGATGGATGTTCACGCAAATATTATTGAACGGATTTTAATAAATTTTACAATAATATAGCTTACACATCAGAACAAGACATAGGCTATAATTTATATACAATTTCAATGCAGTCTATCTCCTAGTCTTAATGTTACACCTTCAGCTTATTCTACGCAGACGTAGTCGCGGGGAGCAGCTAGTTAATTGCAATTTTGACTCCCACTTGAGAATGCGTGCGCGCAGTGGGGGCTAAATTATGATGGCCGCTTAACTAAAAACAAAAGGCTCGTGCTCGGACATCTTGCGATAATTAGCTAATAGAATAGATGCACCAGCCGCCATACTGTCGCATCACCGAGTGGGTGGAGCTACTGTGCGTTAAAAAATGTTGATTCGTGCAACAGTAACTACGTCGTGAAATTCGATAGCCAATAGTAGCTTCGCCGCGGACGTCGACAGCACTCCGTCGTAAAAAGAAGGATCGTTGTAGCGGTCGAGTTGACTAGCATGCTACATATTATGTAGGGGAAATCACAGAGCAACTGACACAAAATGTCCTGAGTACTCCAGACAAAAATAAATTAAAATGATTATGTCTCAGGATAATATAAGTTACTCTGAGGCTGCTCTGAGAGTTCCTTCTTCCTTATGTATCCTTATGCTGACATTGCCAGTTCCTCTCCCGGCAGACATATTGATCCAAACCAAATATCCCAACATCCTCAATCGTCTGGTACAATACCAATATCCCAACAAATCTCCTATTCCCTACCATCTACCTCCCAAACCACTCCCCAAAAATCATATTCCAAAACTTATTATAAAACCCCTTGTCACCAAAGCTCCTCTGGGTAAGACATATGATGTCTTAGCTCATAAGAATATAATTAGCTCCCCTCAATCCTCCCAACCCAATGGCTGTGCTCTTACCTCTCCTTTTATAGAGTCAACCCCCATGCTCACTCCTAATGACAACCTTATCGAACTCCTTATCTGCTCTCTTATTAATATGGTTTCCAAATTTTCCGACTCATTACCGAACAACGTCGTTATCCTACTCCAACAACTGCTCGAACGATTGATTACCAAAAATGGCGACAATTCTTCAGTGGAATTGTAGAAGTATTCGTCACAAAAACATGACCTTATTTTTTTAATTAACCGCTTTAAGCCAGTACTTCTTGCCATCTCGGAGACCTGGTTGAAACCGGGGTCTGTATTCAGGCTTCCGGGTTTTTCATGCCTCCGTGATGACAGAGATGACGGAAAGGCCGGCTGTGCTCTCCTAGTCTCAAGGTCCATTACCTTCTCCCAAATTCCAATCCCTGCCCATAGCTCTGAGCTGCATGTAGTTGCAGTCAAAGCTCATAATTTTTCCTATGTATCCTGTTACATCCCACATCCTAATAGATCTATCATTTCTGAATTAAGTAATATTTTGTCCTCTATCTCTGGTCCTCTCATTATCTCCGGAGATTTTAATTGTCACCATCCTATGTGGGGATCCCACCACATCAATACTCCCTCCCCTTTTTTCCTTGATTTATTAGATGACAATAACCTTTGCATTTTAAATGACGGTTCTCCAACCCGAAGGACTGCTCCCGGACAAAACATCAATGCACCTGACCTAACCCTCTCTTCCCCTTCTTTAGTGAATTATCTTTCATGGTCCATACTACCTAACGCATATGGCAGTGACCATTTTCCCATCTTAATCCAATCCCTTCAACCCTCACCCATCATTCATAGTGTCCCACCACTACAACGGTTTAGACTCTGTGATGCTGATTGGGATAAATATTCTAAAAGCTTAGACACCAAAATCCTTTGTCTCCCTCCTGTGGATTCCTTTAACTTCCTGTCCTTGTATAATGATTTTGTTACCTGTTTGCTTGCGGCTGCTGAAGAATGTATTCCTTTAAAAAACTCCTCTCGTGGTCGCCTCTCCTCTCCTCCGTGGTGGGACCCAGAATGTACTGCTTCTATAAGATCAAGAAATCAGGCAGAGAAGGTATATGCAGATAATTTAAACATGGAGAATTATCTCGCCTACCGTAAAACCTGTGCTAAAACAAAAAGAACTTTAGCAAAAAAGAAGTCCAAGGGTTGGCTTAATTTCTGCGAATCTCTATCTCCTCGCACTCCCATAACCACAGTATGGCGTAGAATTTCTACTTTTCGTGGAATTTTTGCCGAACAGATCATCTCTTCTAATGACCCTTCAACATGGTTAGATTGCTTTCTAGATAACTTAGCCCCTCCCTTTGTTCCCTCTCATGACTGCTTTCCCCTATCATCTATCCCTTCTTACTCATCTGACAGAATGAACGACCCATTTTCCTACTCTGAGCTCTTGTGTGCTCTTGACAACCTCAAAGATTCCTCTCCAGGCGTTGACGGAATCTCCTATTCATTTAACTGTAAATCTTCTTTTTCATCGAAATTATTCTTCCTTAATATTAAAAATTTTTTCTACTGGACGCGTTCCAGGGTCATGGAAGACTCAAATAATCATCCCAATTTTAAAACCTGGTAAGAATCCTAACAACTCATCATCATATCGACCCATTGCCTTATCATCTGTAATGGCAAAAATTTTAGAGCACCTGTTAAAAAATAGATTAGAGTGGTTCCTTGAGAACAGAGGCCTGTTATCAAATACTCAATTTGGTTTCAGACGTGGCATGAGCACTATGGATAGTCTTAGCATCCTTACATCTGAAATAAGATATGCTTTCTCTCGTAATGAGCATGTTATTGGGGTCTTCCTTGACATCTCCTCCGTTTATGATAATGTGCAGCTTTCAATACTCAGGCAGAAGATGCTTAATCTGAGTATCCCCGTGAGACTTGTTAACATTATCCTTAACTTATTTATGTGTCGCTCTATCTGTGTCCGTTCTCTTGGCTCTTTCCTACCTTCCCGTCTCGTCTGGAAGGGTCTCCCTCAAGGCTCAGTCCTAAGTCCCCTACTCTACAACCTATATACTGCCGACCTTGATTCAACTGTTAACTGCTTTTGCAAAATACTTCAGTATGCAGATGATATAGCATTATACACCACTTGTTCCTCTCTGTCGGATGGATGTACACAATTAAACACCGCTTTGTATTATTTAAATGTTTGGCTTTTGGACCATGGACTAAATTTATCTATACCTAAATGTCAGGCTGTTACTTTTACTCGTAAACGTTATATCCTCCATTTAAGACTCTATAGCTGGTGAGCCTGTTTTATTCCAAGACCGAATAAAGTTTTTGGGTGACTTTCTTGATTCAAGGTTGAGTGGTGTATATCACTTAGAGTATGTATATAACAAATGTGAAAAGAATACCAACATTTTGAGAGCTTTGTCAGGAGTTCATTGGGGATCTCATCCTTTCTCTCAAAAAATACTGTATAACGCCATTGTACGTAGCCATTTTGAATACGGCAGTTTCATCCTGGAGCCTTGTAGTAAACTAGCTCTAAATAAGCTCGACAAAATACAGTCAAAATGTTTACGTATAATTTTACAGGCGCTATGAAATCTTCTATTAAGGCCCTCCAAGTAGAGTGTGTGGAACCTCCCTTATTCCTTCGTAGACAGTTTCTTGCTGACAGATATTTCTCCAATGCTGTTCAGTATCCCTCTCATCCCATACTAAAAACCCTACGACTCCTTTCCTACTCCATTAATTCTTCCCCATATTGGAACAATAAATTGTTGGATTGGATCCCAGGACACATGGGTATCTTGGGGAACGAAGCTGCTGATTTTTATACCAAACAGGCTGTACATATAGGTGACACAAGTCATTCGAGTATCCCTTCCCGTGACCTATGCTCCTTGGCCAAACCGCGACTAATGAAAACGTGGGACAATTTCTGGAAACAGTCCAATACTGTAAAAGGGAAATATTATGCAAAGATTCAGCCCAATATACTGTCTCGACCTTGGTTTTTTAAATTCAGGTCCTTAAATAAAATTGTCACCTCTATTATATTATATTATATTCGCTTAGGACATGTTTGCTCCCCAGTGTTTTTAGCTAAACTGCATATACATGACCACTCACTTTGCCAATGTGGCTTGGCAGAGGGCACATTAGAACATTTATTTTTTTCCTGTCAAAATCTTACAGTTCCTCTTTATGATATCCTACCTTATAATTTTCCCAGGCCTGTCAATATTCCATTCCTTCTAACCATCACTGAATCCCTTTTTATTAAAGTCCTAGATAAATTTATCCGTTTAAATAACATAAGACTATAACTTCTTATATTTTTCCCCTACGGTATTGTTGTCTTAATTATGTGTTCTATGTATTCACCTTAACATTTAGCCGTTCTAATTTATTATATCAAATTATTCATCATTCATACACTAATCCATTGTTTGTCCTTTGTTCAGGTAACTCAACTGGATGCGCGTAATAGTCTACCTACCGAACAAAGGCCAATATTACCGGCTAATCTCATTCTTTACTAACTGTTTTATTCAACCTTGACATTGGCAGAATCATCAAGTTATTGCCTGATGGAGCCATTATACTAAAATTTGAATTGAATTGAATTGACTTTTCCAGGAACCTCCACAGCGCCTGCTTACTTCCCAGCGATCATGGAGAACCACGCGGCGGAGCTGAAAGTATGGAGGACGGAGCTGGATGTGCCGGAGCACCAGCTCAAGAGGGGGATGCTACCGAATGCCAACAAGGACCTGCTCTACCCCGGCTTCCCGACCATGCGCCACCTCAAGTATCGGGTACACCACTTTTTTTTTTGGGGGGGAAATCTTTAAAGATACCTCGTCATCTCTCATAATTCGTACCCACTAAAACCCCCTCGGTGGCCACCTGTACGTTTGGAGGGACTCTGGGATCTCCTACGGAACGCACCGGTGTCCCTTGATACTGCGCATATGCACGCCTCGTAGAAGGATGAACTTTCCCCAGTTCCCTCGCTATCTTGCAACAACTTGAGGCCACTTCGTACTGCTGCCAGTTTGAGTCCCCTTTTAATCGCCTTCCATGACAGGCAGGGGATACCTTAGCCCTATTCTATGAGTCTTAGACTACAGGGTTGGTTGGGTATGCCACCTAAATAAGCCATTTTATTCACACACTCATTTTAATTATTACATTTGTCAATGTAACTAAAATATATACAGTGTGTCTTTACAATCGTGACAATAAATGAACACACATATAGGGGATAACTTTTTAAAATTATATTAAACATTTACATTCTTTAAACATCAATATATACAGAGTTATAAAATTTTCCAAAACAAAGAATTTTAGAATCATCCTTACGTATAAAACTGTAATATAAAGTTCATTTGTAAAGGTCACTAAGCGTATGAATGAATGGGTTGAATGAATTTAAAAGAGACAAAACATATTGTTAGAAGGAGGGGCTTGTATTGTAATGCGACGCTGTGGCGCGAGTTGTATAGGATGTTACTTTTTTTTTTTCTAATTACGATTTTGTTTAACGTTAATATTTCTTTATATCGTAGCGTTAGACGTGTGCTCATTTATTGTTGCGATGGTAATGACACGCTGTATATTTATAAATAAATAAATATTTATAAATATTTTAGGACAAACTTTTCACACAAAGTTCTCTAGTCCCAAACTAAGCAATTATAGTACTCTGGGTACTAGATAACTGATAAACATACTTAAACATATGTTTCTTTTGTAAATAAATACTTATTGTACATAAATAAACACCCAGATACTAGAAAAACGCTAAGTTCATCACACAATATTTTTCCAGTAGTGGGGATCTAACCCACATATTCTTATATATAATTATAATTAATGATAATATAAAGTTTAAAAAAGTTTCAAAACTCATTCATTTTGAAGTGGAAAACGGAAAACAGAAACAGATTATCAGAAAACTATAAAAATATTGCGATTTTCTTTGTCTGGCATTTACAGCACTATAAGTAACGCCACTATACCCGATTTAAAATAGACTATACCCAAATATTATTCTCGCGAATAATTATGCGTACCAGGCATAGAGGATCTTTCAAAATTGACCGTGTTTCTCTGGTTCCAGACGAAATTGTCCAAGCGTCAAGTGAAAGTGTTCGACCAGCCGTCGCGCAACGAGAACATGATCGTGGAGATAATCCGCGAGGGGAGGAACCGCCCCTAGAGCAGGTGGCGCGGGGGTTGCTGGGGAAGGTCATTTGGGTCGGGTGGCCCCACCTCACCAGGGCCAAGTGAGTGAACTTATGGCTAAGGCATATTATACCATTGCGGAATATCTTGACGACACCAATATGTGGGGTCAATACTGTTGATACTCACATAGGCTAAGATAAGACAGACATGTTCTATTATATTGTAAAGTAATCGTTTTAAAAAAGGCCAACTGTTGAGTTTCTTGCCAGTCTCTTCTCAACAGAAACTGCTTACCGAACCGGTGGTAACTTACGAACGTATTAATTTAACGCGGAACAAATTGAATAAATATATTTTAATTTGATTTGATTTGAACAATGTAGTATGTATGTATGCCCATTTGCTGCCCTTTAATGTGTGAGTTGAAAACCCACTTTTATAACTCAACCAGAGTTATACATGGGGGGTGAACACTGTTTCTTTTCCATAATTTCAAATAAAATGCCTAAAGCTGAGTCCTTGACAAACTATCACACATTGGCTGTTATTGTTTGGTTAACATTTGCAAGCGGCTAATGATAAGAATTTGCTTATATGACTTATTGACAAGTGCTCTAATAAAATACCACTTAGGTTGGTGATTTAAAAAACTGTGAAGTAAACAATTTAAATTAATGGCTTAATTTTCGTTTCAAGAGTGATGTCAGTGTCGAACGAGAAAATACGCCTGCATCACATTGATCAACAGAACAACAATGTTGACGGCCAACCCAGCTTCTCTACGGAGGAAAATTTCGGCAACTTACACAAGCAGTGGATCGCCGAACGTTCCACAGTTATCGAGCAGTAAGTGCTGAAGTAATTCCAAAATATTTATCGCCAAAGTAGTAGATGATTGTTGATCGTCGTAGAAGCCAGATAACAGATTATTTGTAAGTTAAGCTGTCTGCCATTCAACACCATTGTAGAAAACTTCAAATATATATGTTTCTTGAAGTGAAAAGAGTTGAGCAATTATTATTATAATGTATTTGTATTTAAATTTTGTACTTGGCTGCAGTCCATTATATTTTTTGACTAATACATAAATCCTATATAAAAGGATTTAATTGTTCCATATAGTACAATTAAATGTGTAAACCAGGCATCGGCTGAATTAAAATAAATTTGAAAATTTGAACCAACATGGCATGACAGTATTGCCAAAAGGAAATAAAGTAGAACTATTTATGTCATTAACTTACAAAAATCGTCAGTAAAATTATTCTTTAAGAGGTACTTTGTTCAAATAACATATTTGAAATATTGTGTTATACAATTCGTAAAAAGGCTTTTTACATTTATCTTTTTTTTTACTTCTAGCAACATGAACCGGCTGGGCATTGAATTGGGAACTGTGAATATACTAATTCATGCAGCAAATCTTAAAGGTGAGATCTTTTCCAGCTTAAAAATCATTGTTGATAATAGAAAAGTAACAAATTAAAATAATAAAATCTACTTATTATAACTATAATAGTATGGTATTATTTAATTGCAATCACTTTTTATTTCTGTTCTGATATTTTCCTGAAATTAATAAGTCAATAGCAATAATATAAGACTTCGAAAAATCTCTTTTAAATAAATGCATAAAGAATATGTTAATGAATAACATAAGGAAAATAGTCGAGGTAACCTTTACTTTTGAAAAGGTCTATTATTTTTTTAAACAAGATGCGTTGAAATGAGTCTTTCACTGCATCAGCATTTTTAATTTTCATGACTTGTTGAATTCTTAGTGACCTTGTTAGTGTATTATACTTACTTAAAAATGAAATATTTATGTTGTTAGGGCGAGTGTGACATAGTAAAATTGAAACTTAAGTAAAAGCCTATATATGTCCTTCTACTGGGCAAATGCCTCCTTTGTACAGAAAGTATTAGGGCATAGTCCTCCACGCTTCTGTGGATTGAAGACTTAACATATCTTCGAAATATTTTTTTTTGTTCTTTCGAAAATATGCCGGTTTCCCCATTATGTTTTCTTCCACTGCCGAGCACGTGAAAAGTCAGCACTTAATCTCTTAAATCTAATTGTCACACGTGATTTGAACTCGGGTTGCTCGAGTATATTGAAGTAAAAGCGAGCACCCGGACACTGATCATCACAGGTCTGAAGTGTGTATGTACCTTATTATTATTGTTCACGAGTATGTACTAACTGCATGGATCGTATGAAAAAACTGTAGCCACATTGCAGGATGCAAATACGTATGGATCGGATGAAAAAATTGTTGTCACATTGCAGGGTACAAATACGCATGGATCGGATGAAGAAACTTTTCTTCCATTGCAGGGTACAAGTACGTGATCCAGGAGAACTGCCGCATGGTGCAGGAGCCGCAGTGGTGCTCGGTGCCGTGCGGGTACGCGCTGCAGGCGGCGGTGTGGGGCGCCGCCGCCGCCTCGGCGCCCGCCCCGCCCGCCGCCTTCCGCACGCCGCGCGAGGCCTACCCGCCCGGCGACCGCGTCTTCCTGCTCACGCACGGCCAGTACTACGGCTGCCTCGCCACGGTACGTTGTAACCCGCACGGCCCGTTCCCCTCACTCCTCCAATCAGTATGAGATCTACCAACCCGGCGACCGCGTCTTCCTGCTCACGCACGGCCAGTACTACGGCTGCCTCGCCACGGTACGTTGTAACCCGCACGGCCCGTTCCCCTCACTCCTCCAATCAGTATGAGATCTACCAACCCGGCGACCGCGTCTTCCTGCTCACGCACGGCCAGTACTACGGCTGCCTCGCCACGGTACGTTGTAACCCGCACGGCCCGTTCCCCTCACTCCTCCAATCAGTATGAGATCTACCAACCCGGCGACCGCGTCTTCCTGCTCACGCACGGCCAGTACTACGGCTGCCTCGCCACGGTACGTTGTAACCCGCACGGCCCGTTCCCCTCACTCCTCCAATCAGTATGAGATCTACCAACCCGGCGACCGCGTCTTCCTGCTCACGCACGGCCAGTACTACGGCTGCCTCGCCACGGTACGTTGTAACCCGCACGGCCCGTTCCCCTCACTCCTCCAATCAGTATGAGATCTACCAACCCGGCGACCGCGTCTTCCTGCTCACGCACGGCCAGTACTACGGCTGCCTCGCCACGGTACGTTGTAACCCGCACGGCCCGTTCCCCTCACTCCTCCAATCAGTATGAGATCTACCAACCCGGCGACCGCGTCTTCCTGCTCACGCACGGCCAGTACTACGGCTGCCTCGCCACGGTACGTTGTAACCCGCACGGCCCGTTCCCCTCACTCCTCCAATCAGTATGAGATCTACCAACCCGGCGACCGCGTCTTCCTGCTCACGCACGGCCAGTACTACGGCTGCCTCGCCACGGTACGTTGTACCCCGCACGGGCCGTTCCCCTCACTCCTCCAATGAACAAAGGAGCATCCTGTATAAGGCCTACCCGCCCGGCCACCGCGTCTTCCTGCTCACGCACGGCCAATACTACGGCTGCCTCGCCAAGTTACGGTGACCTTTTATGGATCCCCTGCCACTGGATCGGGTGTGTGAGGGGGTATGTAGGAGTCCCGGGAACATGTCTCTGTCGCATCGGCCAAGGGAACACGTGGACGCAATCTTCCGCTACCCCAGCGCGACTATGGCCTTTTTAGGCCTTCTCTTCTAAATGGTGATGTGCCGGTGCAATTGGCACAGCATCTCACACAAGCCCCATATCGAGCGACAGACCCCCCCATGTCTGCCGCTCGGGATCTCACTATCGGGGGAAGATTGCGCGCGTACTAACCTCCTGTGCCACGATCTCCGGAGGCGGACATCCAGGGTTGCAGTTGCCTCCCTTAATCTCTCCGCGGCCTCCTTCCGGGTGATAACGTCCTCTCAGTATTCGAGGGCAGCATCCCACACCCTCACGCAATTAACCATAGCACGAACAGTAGCAGGCAGCTAGAGGCTGCCCCACGATAGCGCATAGCTCTCGCCGCGGCTCCGTCCAAGCCGGGCACTCTTCCAGTGCGTTTTGGGTTGTCTTCTCGGCATATACGTCACAGTGGTGGCATTCCGCTGTGGGTTCCCTCCTTGCCACGCGAAACAGACCTCCCGAAACACCCGTGTCCCGAGAGAGATGTAATGTTTTTTAGATTCACGTTCTTGCAATACAGTTTTAAATTTTAGCTGTTTTTAGTATTCACAAATGAATTCTGGAGTGAAACAGTCTCTAATTTGTGGGTCACAGCAAAGTTTTGCATTATTATATACAGGGAGGCTTTTCTAAGTGTATCCATTTTTTTTATTAAATTCTAGACAAATAATGTTACATAAAAAATGATCAATATTTAAAATCACTCGTAATTAATTAATTACATTCATTTGAACTTATCTCAAAAGTGCGTGATTTATGGGCAACTCATTTATTTTACGCGCAATCATTCATAACTAACACGCACACAAGTTCGTTTCAAAAGTATACGACGCATTTATGAATGACTACCGCATTGTCAACAAGTTCTGTTTTTTAAGGAATAGAATTGCAATATTTTGAAAAAAAAAGTTTGTTTTTATTTTATCGAGCCGTGATAGCTCAGTGTCCGGGCGCTCGCCTTAATTCAATGTATACTCGAGCAACCTGAGTTCGATCCCCGGTGCCGGCACCAATGAAGTTTTTAACTTTAAGTGCTGAATTATCACGTGCTCCGCGGTGAAGGAAAACATCGTGAGGAAACCTGCATATTTTTTCGGAATAATAACAAAAAAAAAATGTATTTCGAAAATATGTGAAATGTCCGCCAATCCGCAGTGGGGCCGCGTGGTGGACTATGCCCTGATACCCTCTGTATAGAGGAGGCCTTTGCCCAGCAGTGGGACATGTATAGGCTGTTACTTTACTTTTTACTTTTTATTTTTATTTCAATAGATGATTATACTACCTGTGTGAATTTGGGCACCTTAAGAAGAGCCACCCTGTATAATAGTTCGTTGATGTCCGCTAGGTCCTGGACTCTGAGGCGATACGCAGTGGCCGCATCAAGGTCTCCGTCCAGGAGAACTTCGAGCCAATTGTCACGAGTGACGTCAACGCCAGCCCCTACCGCTCGGCGAACCACGCCGCCGCCTCTTGTGGTAACTTTATTTTATTTATTATTTTTTTTATGTGAGAATGTGGCCAGCGAGCTGGCGGTTCACCTGATGTTAAGTGATATCCGACGCCGATGGACTTTTACAATACCCATAGTGCCATAGTGTTGCATAGGGTCATAATACTTAGTCGGACAGACCTGCCCATTCGTCTAACAGCAAAGACTGTTGCACGACTGGCCCTACGACGGTCTTATTTAATGGACTACTGCTCACAGAAGACCTCCTCAATAATTCAGATTGTCGTTTGCCATCTACAGGTATATCAGCTCAACTGCTGTCCCGCATTACTGGAACGGTGCTTGTCGTGCTCGGCGAGAGGAACAACTTGCCCACCGAGAACCAGAACAAGTTGAACATCGGCCTCAATCTCAAATTCAATAAGAAGGTTAAAAGCTTTCAAAACTTTCTAGTTTGTTTATTTTCAAAACTAGCAACGGGATTGTTCCTGTGTCGGTTACAGTACTCTAAACCGTGAATATATTACACATGGACCCATAATAATTTGCATATCTCGAGCGGGTTCCTCCGCAACCGACAAAACGAAACCTCCAACAGCAGGTTTCAATATTCTGCCACAGATTTGGTTACTAGCGATAGTTATTTGATATTAGCTCCATAATATTTTCGTCAAAATTCTAAAGCAACCAATAACTACAAATTGAATATTGAAACCATAAGGCCGCAAGACGGCTCTGCGTGAGCGTAATAACAGAGGTATTTTTTTTAAAGTTTTTATAGTGCTAATCTCTGCACTTACGATTGAACATTAAAACATGTAGAAAAAGTGCGAAAAGATTGTCGCCGCTGTGGGAATCGAACCCACGTCTTCGGCATTCGCGGCCTGACGCTCTAGCCACTGAGCTAAACGGGTGATAGCCACAGCGACGAAAATCTTAACAGAGGTATTAACAACCGCCGGCTTGGAACCCCAGAACCAGGAGGTGTCGGGGTACACCCGCCGCTGCGCCGTGAGCAACTCCTGGCTCTACTCGGAGCGCTGCATCCAGCTGGTGAAGAGCTACGCGCGCCAGTTTCCCGACGTGTTCGACAACCTACCCCACCACTTCGACAGGAACATCGTCTTCGAGGCGGAGCTCTGGCCCGGCGAGACGGGGTGAGTCCAGCAAAGCCTATGTGGAGCTTCGTCAAAGCCATGGTAGAACTTGGCAAAGTTCCAGTAGAGCTAAATCAAACTCAATCTAGAACCTTGTTAGCCTATGTGGAGCTTCGTCAAAGCCATAGTAGAACTTGGCAAAGTTCAAGTAGAGCTAAATCAAACTCAATCTAGAACCTTGTTAGCCTATGTGGAGCTTCATCAAAGCCATAGTAGAACTTGGCAAAGTTCAAGTAGAGCTAAATCAAACTCAATCTAGAACCTTGTTAGCCTATGTGGAGCCTCATCAAAGCCATAGTAGAACTTGGCAAAGTTCCAGTAGAGCTAAATCAAACTCAATCTAGAACCTTGTTAGCCTATGTGGGGCTTCGTCAAAGCCATAGTAGAACTTGGCAAAGTTCAAGTAGAGCTAAATCAAACTCAATCTAGAACCTTGTTAGCCTATGTGGAGCTTCATCAAAGCCATAGTAGAACTTGGCAAAGTTCCAGTAGAGCTAAATCAAACTCAATCTAGAACCTTGTTAGCCTATGTGGGGCTTCGTCAAAGCCATAGTAGAACTTGGCAAAGTTCAAGTAGAGCTAAATCAAACTCAATCTAGAACCTTGTTAGCCTATGTGGAGCTTCGTCAAAGCCATGGTAGAACTTGGCAAAGTTCCAGTAGAGCTAAATGAAACTCAATCTAGAACCTTGTTAGCCTATGTGGAGCTTCGTCAAAGCCATAGTAGAACTTGGCAAAGTTCAAGTAGAGCTAAATCAAACTCAATCTAGAACCTTGTTAGCCTATGTGGGGCTTCGTCAAAGCCATAGTAGAACTTGGCAAAGTTCAAGTAGAGCTAAATGAAACTCAATCTAGAACCTTGTTAGCCTATGTGGAGCTTCGTCAAAGCCATAGTAGAACTTGGCAAAGTTCAAGTAGAGCTAAATCAAACTCAATCTAGAACCTTGTTAGCCTATGTGGGGCTTCGTCAAAGCCATAGTAGAACTTGGCAAAGTTCAAGTAGAGCTAAATCAAACTCAATCTAGAACCTTGTTAGCCTATGTGGAGCTTCATCAAAGCCATAGTAGAAACTTGGCAAAGTTCAAGTAGAGCTAAATCAAACTCAATCTAGAACCTTGGTAGCCTATGTGGAGCCTCGTCAAAGCCATAGTCGAACTGGCAAAGTTCAAGTAGAGCTAAATCAAACTCAATCTAGAACCTTGTTAGCCTATGTGGAGCTTCGTCAAAGCCATGGTAGAACTTGGCAAAGTTCCAGTAGAGCTAAATGAAACTCAATCTAGAACCTTGTTAGCCTATGTGGAGCTTCGTCAAAGCCATAGTAGAAATTGGCAAAGTTCAAGTAGAGCTAAATCAAACTCAATCTAGAACCTTGTTAGCCTATGTGGAGCTTCATCAAAGCCATAGTAGAACTTGGCAAAGTTCAAGTAGAGCTAAATCAAACTCAATCTAGAACCTTGGTAGCCTATGTGGAGCCTCGTCAAAGCCATAGTCGAACTTGGCAAAGTTCAAGTAGAGCTAAATCAAACTCAATCTAGAACCTTGTTAGCCTATGTGGAGCTTCGTCAAAGCCATGGTAGAACTTGGCAAAGTTCCAGTAGAGCTAAATCAAACTCAATCTAGAACCTTGTTATCCTATGTGGAGCTTCGTCAAAGCCATAGTAGAACTTGGCAAAGTTCAAGTAGAGCTAAATCAAACTCAATCTAGAACCTTGTTAGCCTCTGTGGAGCTTCGTCAAAGCCATAGTAGAACTTGGCAAAGTTAAAGTAGAACTAAATCAAACTCAATCTAGAACCTTGTTAGCCTCTGTGGAGCTTCGTCAAAGCCAAGAAAAAAAAATGACAAAAAAGAGGATACCTACGGAGTTTCTTCCGCCTGTTTCTTCTCCGTTAGAGGAACCTCATTACGAAACGGTGGTAGATTTAAAAAATGACTATCGATAAATGAAATGTATATTTCTTATTTCGATGAATAAATGATTTGAATTTGAACTAGCGATCTGCCCCGGCTTCACGCGGGTGCAATCTATTACACATATAAACCTTCCTCTCGAATCACACTCTAGTAATAGAAACTGCATCAAGATCCGTTGCGTACTTCTAAAGATTTAAGCATACACAGGGACAGACGGACAGCGGGACTAATTTGCTTTATACTATGTAGAGATCTGTATACGCGACGTGGCTGAAATAACGGGGTCTCCTCAGGGGGGGCAAGGTCCAGGAGGTGGTCTCCTGGCTGAAGGAGCAGAAGCACGGCAGCGCGGCGCGTCGGCCCTGCGGCTCGGAGGCGCTGGAGCCCGAGGAGCTGCTGCTGCTGGCCGAGAAGCAGAGGCTCCAGTTCGAGATGGCGCCGCCGCAGCGCAGCCTCACGCTGCACGTCAAGTGGAGCCTCCTATACAAGGTGCCGCGCCAGGACCAAAATAAAAATCATCAACTGTGCACCACAAGGGCCAAAATCAAAATCATTCATCTCATCGACATAAGAAACTGTGCCCCAACAGGACCAAAATCAAAATCATTTATTTTACCGACATAACATTTGATAAACATCTTTTGATGAAACACAGAAGTATATATAACCCTTCCACTTCTAGGCGGTGTTATCTTCGCCGCGGGTAGTCGGTTTTTCGAGCTTTATACCTTTACCTTCAGCTGATTGTTTGGATTTGGACTTAAGTTTGTGTTAGTAAAAACCCCAGTAGGTGGACTTACGACATCTTTTTTTATGCGACAAGTTGCCAAGCGAGCAGGCGGTTCACCTGATGTTAAGTGAATGCCGCCGCCCATCTGCTACACCCGAGGGTTGCAGATGCGTTGAAAAACTTGAAAAATTGGGCTCCGGCTACCTCACTCACCAGACGAAACGCGAAAGTATTATACTTCCACTTTACGCCCGTCTTCTGTGTAGTCGTGGTACTTACCCGGACGAGTCTGCCCATTCGTACAACAGCCGAGGCTGCTGCGTGGCCCTACCACACTTAACATCGTAAGAGTCGCGGAAAACCGGTGGTTGCAGTGTTAGTAGCAATTGCGAAGTGTACATTGTAGTATTCTAGGGGCAGAAAGCTATTTGGCACGAACAAGTGACCAATATGCTTCTCACGTTAATTCGAGACGTTTCTCGCTCTGTGTTAGAAAAATACGTGAACATTTGAAATTTGATAGAATAGGACAAAGGTATCCCCAGGCTGTCGTAAAATACGACTTAAAGCGGGCATGGATCCACGGACTAGCAGCAGGACTAGTGGTCTTGTACTGTCACAAGATGGTGAAGAAATTGAGGAAGGTTCCTCCTTCTCCAAACGTCCAGAACAATAAAGTGTCTTTTATTAAAATAAATTCCTTGGAACTCGTGAACTCGCGCCACGAGATAATAGTATAAAAAAACGTGAACATTTGAAATTGGAACTCGTGTCTCGAGGCGCCTAATGTATAAAAAAAAGTGAACATTTGAACTTGGAACTCGTGTACTCGCGCCTCGTCTAGATAATCATAAAAAAATATTAACGAAAACAAAATCCATACTTAAAAAAAACTTTTTTTTCAAACAAACTAATTAAGTAAAAAAGAAACAAAATTTCTAACTGATAAACTCGCGCCAATAACATCATTACAAGCCTCTCCTTCTAACAGTATTTTTTTTGTCTCTTTTAAATTCATTCAACCCATTCATATGCTTTGTGACCTACAATTCGAAAATATCGAAATTGGAATACAACTTTAAAAAGTTATCCCCTATATGTGTGTTCATTTATTGTCGCGATGGTAACGACACGCTGTATAATTCGAATTCGAAATTGGAACAGCCGGAGCTGCACGAGGGCAACGTGACGCCCGACCCGTCGGCCGACTTCCGCATGCACGACCGCGTGGTGTGCGTGTCGCGGCACATGAGCGTGCCGACGGGCGCGCGCGGCACCGTCACCGCCGTGTACCGGCCGGCGGAGTGCAACACGGTGCGGCTCGCGGACAAGCTGAACGCGGCGCCCAGCTACCAGGTCATGTTCGACGAGCCCTTCGTCGGCGGCATGACAGAGGAGATGTTCGCGGAGCCGCGCTTCTACAGGTATGCCTGATTTTTTTTTTTTTTTTTTTTTTTTTTTTTTTTATGAGGGTTCCCCCTCTGCGCGCGTTGTCGGAAATTATGAGGGTGAAATTTCAAGATGCGCGTGCGTCACTGTAACACAGAAGTGACACCTTTGAAGCTGGCCCTAAACCGCTAATTTTTTTTTATTATTTATTGTTTATATCCTTTTCCAGTATTTTAATATTTTATTGTAATTAATTATTTCCATGCAATTAATGACTAATTTTTAATGATGCCAAAGAAGTATAACTTCTCACGCGCGTACACGCATACATTTTTTTTTTAATATAATTATATTATGTTATGGAACAGGGATTTCTCTTAATATTTTACTCGTTCCTTGTGGACTACCCACGTTCTCACGAATGATACTTTTTGAACAAACTTGTTATGATGTAAATTTAAAAAACCGGCCGAGTTCGAGTCGGACTCGAGTACGAAAGGTACCGTACCATTACCTATAAAAACGGCAAAAAAATCATGTGTTGTATGGCAGCCCCACTTAAATATTCTTTTTTATTATTTGTTAAATAAATACATCATCTGTGAAAATTTCAACTGTCTAACTATCATGGTACGTATGATACAGCCATGGTAGACAAACAGACACCCAGATAGTGGCAGACAGACAGACAGACAGCGGAGTCATAGTAATAGGATCCCGTTTTTTCCCTTTGGTAACTGAAAAAATTTCTACAGACAGACATACTACAATCTGATCATGCATTTGTGCCAACAGGATGCAGGCCACGAACATGTTGAACATCTCGTACGGACGGAAGCTGCGGCAGGCGAGGAGCGCCAACAAGGAGCCAAGCGAGTGGACGGGCATCAACGCGCCCATTCTGCTGCGCCGCGACCAGCACCACTCCGCCTTCGCGAGCTACAGGTTCGAACCCGGAACGCCCCGGAGTAGGGCCAACAACAATGTCCCCTGGTCGGGTCCGGCCGGGGAAGCACCGACTCCTCACAGGGGCCCGGCGCGATGTGGAAGTGTTGTACGTCTGCGTTTCGTGCGTTGAGTGAGGTAGCCAGGGCCCACTTTACTAAGAGGTGGCAACGCGTCCGCAGAACTACGGCTGTTGCGAATGTCTATGGGCGGCGGTTATCACTTAACATCAGGTGAACCGCCATCACTGGAGATAGAATTATGATGTGATCTTTATAGAGCTAGCACAAATACCTATCGCTAAAACCAAATGCACAGATAGATAGGATTGAAAGCGGCCGTTAAACAGCTACCGACACGACGACCGCTCAAACGATTTAAGATTGACGTAGTGGATTCAATATACTAATGCTGTCTTTGTAGCTTGTAGAAATTTGTTAGTGTGTTGCTTTATTCAAAACGAGCTCTACACTCCAAATAAGCACCTGACAGCTGACTGGTAGATAGCATTATGGTTGACAATAAGCCTTTGTAAATATTTTAATAAATACATCATATTTATCATGTGCATAAAGAATTAAATAAATAAACAATGAGTTACTTGATGAAACTATGATTACGGATTTATCGCGTTTATTTTAGTATTTATTTCCCGAGTTTTCGAACCCTTTACTGCGTCCATGGTCACGGGACAGACTGAGGCGTTGGACGTCTCAGTGTCATTGTTAGTCTGGGCTACCTACAGTTTTTAAATTATTAATTTTTGTGTCGATCTACATAGGACATGCTAATTTCACCCTGTCTTGTAGTAGTGGTTCGTTTGGGTCTAAATTAAATTTTGTCAATGTTAGGATCCCAAGCTGATGGTAGCACCAACCCTCTTTTTTTTATTGAAATTGGGCTTTTTTTAATTTCAATAACCTCGCGTATTATCAATCAAACCAAAATAAACGCGATAAATAGTTTCATTCAGTAATGTGTAATCACGCGTAATTACAAGAAATTATAATAACGTACTCGCTTGTTACTCTCTTATGGTGGTGTTAAGAAGCTTTACTGATGGAATACTGTTTCATTCCGCAGCCCACCGGTGGACAGGAAGACTCCGGTGGCCGAAAATCGCACCAACGAAGCCATCAACAATGGGGCCCCGGCGGTGAGTATCACTAAAGTAGATTTATTAAATTCCGGTTAGAAAAGATCTCGATGACGATAACAATAAGAAATCCAAAATAAAAGCCATGGAACCAAATATGTATGCGCTTAGCATACTTATAAATAAAAGCCGCAAAGTTTCTTAAAATCATCTACAGCATATCGGGGTTCGAACTAGCGGTCAACTGGCGGCGTCTGTTGTCGACCCATCACCAGCCTTACTGCCCAGTTAAAGACCTTTACATTTTAAAATTATTCTCTGTGTTTGTACGCAGTATAAGTAAAAAAAACGTTTGTATTCACTTTTTGTAAATATTTTTAGGGTCCGCGATGGTTATTATCTTCATAATATCCAACGGTACTGTAACCCTTGTCAGAGCTTAGAATCTCTACTATAGTAGACATTATTTCTTCCTCTCCGCACTACATTAAACTGTAACGTTTATTCAATGGTATATAAGTGTCAGTGCTAGAATGGTTCTGAATCTTACTTGAAGCCCCTAGGTTACTGCAATTTTTGCGAAAAGTTGTCAAACGAGCAGAGGGTTCACCTGATGTTAAGTGAATACCGCCGCCCATGGACATCTGCCACACCCGAGGGTTACAGATGCGTTGACAACGTTTTGAGAATTGGGCTCCGGCCACCTCACTCACCAGACGAAACGCGAAAGTATTTGTCATACTTCCACTTTACGCTGTTCTTCTGTGAGGTCGTGGTACTTACTCGGACGGGCCTGCCCATTCGTGCAACAGCCGAGGCTGCTGCGTAAAGGTAAATAAGTATAGGTTAAATACAGAAATACATTGTTTGTAGAAAAAAGTTGCGATGTACAAATCGAGTTATCGTTTGTTAGAACTGAAAATACACAATATGCTTTTTTTAACGAATTTATATGACATTTAAGACATATGAATAGATAAACATTCATTTGATTGAAATAAGTAAATATTCAAATATTTTTAAAATATTCAATTACTTACATTTTATTGTACAGTTAAGAATACCACATAGCTAATTATTTCCATAATAAATTTTGATTATGATCATAAATAATAGATCTACTTTGTTGAATTTTGATTTAATAATGTCAAAAATGTTCAAACATAATAGTAAAATTTCTACAAACACATTCTTATAAAATTATAAATTGTTTAGCTAATACCTTTATCTTGATTTTTGATTGTGTTTACTAAACATAACTGCCAAAGATATTACCTAATTGCAATTTAAGGTTTGCCTATATGCCATGTCTTGGATTTAAAAATAGTGAAGAATTGAAGAGGGAAGTTTTGAGGTTGAATAGGTACTTTATTTTTCAAGTGATAGTTTTCAAGCTATCAAGTGGTGGCCATGAACATCTACAACACTTGTGTTTATGCAGATGCGTTTATATCTTTAGTGGGCCCCGATTACCTTACTCCCCAAGCGGAACTCGAAAGTACTTCTACCCTGATATACTTACTTATTCTATACTACTATACATACTTTACACTTGTCTTCTGTAAGTGGCTCTACCGAAGCTTTACGCTCATATGTTTTCAATTTATTATTTTAATGTTATGTTTTCAACGTCAACAGGACAGTGCCACCAACCTGTTACGTAGTCTTCTAAAAATTAGCGAAAATGAGGAGTCCAAAAAGGATAATAAGGTATTGAGTTCTTTTTTTTTTTTGCTTTTTTTTAAAAAAAAAAACATTGCCCTTTAGGATAACGTTAAGGCCCATTTACACGGTGCAAGTTTCTTGCCTGTTATATACAATTAAATTGAAGCAATAAATGAGTTGCATTGTCTAAACAGCACAAAACATTCTTGACTGTTGAACAAGACTTGCTTCAAGTTTTGTTTCAAAACTTTCCTAGGTGTACAGCACACACAATAATTTCTTAAGCAATTCTTGTATTCAATTGCAATGTCTCATCCTTTGCAAAAATTAGTGCAATGAGTGAGGGTATTTAATCGTTGCTGTTCTTTTGAGGATAGAAATATTGAGAACAGGTCGTAAAAAAAGTTGGATAAAAATATGAATAATAATATATGGATCATAATAAATAAATCTCAATGAAATATATTTATCGGCATAATCTAACTTGAACACTTATTATTGAGCCATTTTTTTTTAAAAACAGCCCTTTGTAAAACGTTCAACACATGCATGAAACATTTGACAACGCAAATACGTGCAATACTATAAGCAACACGCCAATAAATTGTACACGCACATACAAGCATGTGTTTAGACAAGTCAAAACTTGAAAGCAATAATCGCCTAAACATAATTGCATTGGTGTAAACAAAAGACATTTGCAATTATTTCTTGTCAAGACTTGCATACAATAATCGCATTCAATTTTTTTTACTATATCTGCGTGTAAACTGTTGCTTACAATTCTTGATGATCAAATATTGCGTGCAACTTATTGCATTCAATTATTGCTCTTGTATGTACAAGAAAATGGCATCGTGTAAATGGGCCTTTATCCTGAGTTGTAAGGATGTTTTAGGAACATAAATTTCACGCGGACAAACACCCGGATGCGAAACAACTATCTGTGGGTCACACAAATTGTTGTCCCGTGTGGGAATCGAACCCACGACCCCTGACGCCGAAGCCAATACCTTGGCCATAGCGCCACGGAGTCATCAGTTGACTATTTGCTGTTGACAATGAGTTGATTATTTCATGTTTAAAATATATTGTAAATAATTGTTTTTTGTTCTTGGACTAAATTAAAATGTTGTCAATGTATGTAAACTGTATCTTTGCCACCATATACTTTTAATAACACATATAATTGTTTAAATGTTGATCAATATTTTCAATTCCATTTCAGAATTGGCATGATCAAAACAACTGGCGCAAATCCGATAGTAAGACTTCCATCCCAACACCAAAGTAAGGCTAACAGATTTGTAATATGTAACAGTTTTGCTAAAATTCTATATACAACCGTTATATTTAACTTTAATAAATATAAATATAAATATATTATAAATATATTTAACTTTAATTAATAAATAGCAAATGTTAATAAATAATTCATAATTTTGTCCGAGTATCTGTCAGAGGGTGGTCTGGAGAGGTATATATCTTATTACAGTTTGAGTTCACAAACTGTCCCCAACTCTAATTCTATTACTATATTTGACCTTACAAGCAGCATCGTTCATCCGTTTTGGATATTATTCGCGGGGTAAGAGATTTCTGCGTAACGTAGAAGGCGTATGATATGAGACATCTGCTTATTTTACCATAATGTATGTATAGCGGTATAATAAAAGGAATTTTTATATAGGAGCTATCATTAATATTAACTTTAGATGCCAAGTGTCATATGCTTAAAACATTATGATTTTTTTATTATTTACTTGATCACAGAGTAGTGAATAAGTACTTTGTAATCCCTCAAGTCTTGTTCACAACACAACTTGATATTGACATTTATCTGGACAGAAATAAATGCTTACGTTTTAAAAATCTTTTGGGTACTTAGTAGAATTTTATGTTATTTAGTTTTATATTTGTAGGTTTGATGATACAATATATTTGTTTAGTTGCATTCTCTTTATTGATAAACTACATGAAAATATTAAAAGCACATGTATTATTATATATATGAAATGTTTTATGATTTACTACATTGTGAAACCAAACTTTATAAGTTTGTACAAATGATTTCCTTTTAAAGAACAAATCCCTTCCAAAAATATACTAATGTAACAACAATGTATATGTGTTGTAATCTTTTTTCTGTCACAATATGTTATTGATGCATCAATTCACTATTAATTGTATTTTAATGCTTCAGTATAGATATAGATTTGCTAAAATCCTTAAGAGAGTTACGATTTCATAATAGCAAATCATCAATGTTTGCAATAAAGCGGTTCAGCATATACATGCTTTTATTATTATCACATAGATGATTTTGAATAATTCGATAATATTCTATTTGTTTGATATCGATGCCCTTTTCGTTCATTTCAGGACAGCGCAGCAGGAGAACTGGCGCAGAGAGGCCATTCCACCTCAGCCGCAACCCACGCCCAAAGAGTGGACCAACAACAGTTTCAAGGTAACAAAACACTAATAGGCGATGCAAAAGTAATAGTGTCTAATTAAACCGAAGCATCAATATAGAAATATTACAAATTTGCATACATAATTACATACGCTATGGTGAATACTTACATCTGAGACTACTGAAATGATTTCACAAATGTTTAGGTACAGTATTTATTGTATCTTGTATGATATGTATTTGGTTTATCCTTGTTTTTATCTAGATCAAAACTTGTTTTTCGTTAGAAAAAACACGATGTTTTTTGCCACGCAAATTAATATTATTATTGCTAACGGTAGGTTGAGCACATATCATTAAGCATCCTTGTAAACTAAGACTCAAAATTTTAATGCAAGTACGGTACTCCTTAAATAAACACACACAAACATTGAGTACAATGCTTTGTGTGTGTTTATTTAGACGAATTAAAAATGAAAAAACCACGTAAAGAAGAAACAGGTCAACGGACAAGAAAATTTAACATTTGACTGATATTCGATAATGATTTGATTAATTTATATAGACCACCTTTACTAACTAGGGTTGGCAAAGGCAGGCGGCCAGTCGTAGAGAACATAGCCAAAACCTCTTACAGCATGATTCAGAAGGCAGGAGAATGATGATGATGCTCTTGACTGGCTTAGGACGGTCAAAATAAATAAATAAATATTTTGGCACATATTTTTACACAACATTGTCTAGTCCCAAACTAAGCAAATCTTATACTATAGATACTAGGTAACCGATAAACATACTATAGACACTAGGTAACCGATAAACATACATAAACATACTATTCTTTTGTAAATAAATACATATTATAGATATAGAACCAGACAATAGAAGAACAGAATATTCATCACACAATATTTTGCCCGTAGTGGGGATCGAACCCACACCCTCTGGCGCTAAAGACATGGTCCATAACCACTATCCTGATTTCAGAGCCGGCCGCCGGCCGCGACGTTCCCGTCGGTGGTTCAGCCGCTCCGGGTTCCCGGGGCAACGCAAGTGCCCTTCCCCCAGTTCCGCCCCGCCCCCGCCCCTCTGTCCGCCCCCGCCCCTTATTCCGCCCCCGCCCCTTCATCCGCCCCCGCCCCTTCATCCGCCCCCGCCCCTTCATCCGCCCCGCCCCTTCGTCCGCCCCCGCCCCTTCGTCCGCCCCCGCCCCTTCGTCCGCCCCCGCCCCTTCGTCCGCCCCCGCCCCTGCATCCGCCCCCGCCCCCCAATCCTTCCCCCCGCACTTGCCGAGCGTCAGCAACAATAAAGTAGTCACCGGCTGGTGGAAGGGCGAGGTGAGGGACCGATGATATATGCCCGGTGCCTATATTCAACTAACGGTCGTTAGTTACTTAGCTTCGTAACTTTGATATCGACTTGTGGATAAAAGGCGTGTACGCCCGGAGCCTACCTTAGCAAAACGAGGCGTTTTCCTTACGAGCCGTTGCGTTACCTACGGAAAGTGACTTAATAGCGTTCCTTTAATCTACAAGTCGTTATGAAAATAACGAAGCTATGTAACTAACGATCGTTCATTGAATATAGGAACCGAGCAATAGTTCTTGCGAACACCATTGCCATGGTGGATATATTGCTGCTAAGAGCACGATTTGGCATTTGGACACTAAAAAGAGAGAAAGTGTTTGAAGAAAAGTTTTGTGGATGTTGCTGCTCTTCAGTAATGCAACTTTCAAACTTATTGTCTTTTGAAAGTTTATAATCAATGTTTAAGTTCCATTAACAACTAGCTGGATCTAGCGAATTTCTGCCACACAGGAAATAGTTCTAGAAATTATTATTAATAATAATAATAATAATCGGACACATCTTTTACACAACGTTCTCTAGTCCCAAACTAAGCAAAGCTTGTACTATGGGTACTAGATAAACTGATAAACATACTTAAACATACTTTTCTTTTGTAAATAAATACATATTATTCATATATAAACACTAGACACTGGAAAAACTACGATGTTCATCACACAATATTTTCCAATGGGGATTCACCCTCTGCCGCACAGGAAGGGTCACTTACTATAGTTATTTGTTACAAATCGTCTATTGTTTGCAATTGGAAATATTTACCTTTTAGTCCTTTACGATATATGCATCACCTGCTGTAAGTTAATTGTACTATGCCAATAACCTTCGCTAAAGTTTTGGCGCAATGGGATGACGGTATGTTATCACGTAAAATATTAATATATAGACAAACATTAGATTATACATAATTGTGTTCATTGATAAGTTGTATATTTGCATTAAATGTACAAAATTTTAATGTCATATACACAGAAAGTAATAACCACAGCAGCAATAATATAAATGTATCTTTTCTTTATTCCTTATGAGTTACTCTGTGGAGTTGTCTTATTATTAATGTCTATTCCAGAATCTCTCAACAGTGCCAAATGTTAGCAAGCAACAGCCACCCACTGCGGAGAAGGTGAACCACCCTTTTGTGCCACTTCAAGTGCAGACTAGTCAAAGGTAAGGTATAAAAAATTTAATCCAGCACATAAACCAACCTTCATCATTTTGTATACTATAATAGCAAAATTACATAGCTGGATCATAGAATATTAATAAAAAAATTACACTTTTTTTCTACTTTAGCTAGCGTAGCCCTCAGTTATAACTTTACAAAAGAAAACCATTTTAATTACTATGCCGGTCTGTAATGACCTGTTGAGTATTTTAAAGCTCAGAATATAATATGACATAATATGTGTCATAAGTCCCTATATGTTCACCCTGTGTCATATGTTAATAGTATTGAATACTGAACTACATGATGGAGTTATATTAAACATCATTTTCAGACGAGTACAAAACAATAGCGGTCCGTCGAACAGCAGAAAAGATTTGGAGGGACTGCCTGCACCAAAATCGGTACTGCCAAAACCCCAATCTAATAATGAAACAGTAAGTATCTTTTCATATATATGAAATATGTATAAAAAAATATCTTAATTGTACTTAAGCTATTGTTCATAAAAAGTTGTAGGTCAATAAAATGTTAAATAATTTGTTTTCGTCTTTACAGACATTCCAACAGGCTCAGAACTCGAGAGGTAAACCACAAAGAAAGAAGAAACCACGTATAGCCGCCAATCTCCCCTTCCAGATGGATTAATATGTAGTTAACGTAAAATAAGATCGTACATCCCCCTCCCAATATCTTAAAAGACCATGGCAAGTGGTAAATTAAAACACATGAAGACAAACTCATATCAACATTTCTCAATTTATCAGCTTCTCATCTCAACACATACACATACAGTCAATATAGTCAAATAAAAGTCAATTAATATTAATTGCGATATACTGAAATCCATACATACCGACAAGTAAATACATTTCATAATTTTTAAAACAGTCATAACTGCCACAGAGAATAGTATCTTACCAAGTTTCTGCCTATCATTTTGCAGCTCAAGTCTCAATTTATCCATCTCTATACAATAAAATCAATGTACAAAATTATTTAAATAAGTGGAGTGGAGTAATATGCGAAAAGCATAACATTAGATTGTGTTTATATTGTTAAATGTTGGATAAATGTGTACATTTTGTAAATAACTATGAATAATATAGTTTCTATATTTGATGGTGGATGTGATCTTACTTTACTGTGTATGTTTTTAAAATGCAAAAGTTCCTGGTTATCATTATGATGTAGCATAATAATTTCCTTATAACTGCATTTCAAACATTAAGAATAAACAGCAAAAGTCCAATTTCATATTCTGACTTAACCTTTATCTTTAAAAATTACAACCATTGCAAAGATTAAATATTTTCTAATTTCTTGTGATCAGAGGCAATATGGGACAAGTGGGCATTTGAGATTTAAAATTATTTTTTTGATTTTTGAACTTTCATACAAATAATAAACATCTTTAAACAAAAATTAATAAGGAAATGGTAAAAAAATAATTTCAGAGCAATAAGTACTTAAAGAAACTTGTTGCTTATAGAACCATATACTATATATAAATCAAATCTTAGAACATCTAATTCTAGGGCAAGCAGACCATTTTCCTAAATTGCTATAAAATCAATATAAATTACATAAGACGCAGAAAAATCGATGTAAATAGAAGATGGAATAATCAGCTACATATTTTCCCGGAAAATGTTGTTTCTGTGTAACCAATAATATATGTTATCCTATCATTGATGTATTCATATCTTTTAGAATAATGATATTTCAGTATTTATGGATGTGAAAAATTTCCCGTACATTTTAAGTTATATTGACTCATTCATACTTAAGTGACAGTTTGTGTTAAGCATAATGAATAATTGCATAAGATCTAGAAGTACAATTATTTTCGATGTAAATGGCCCACTTCAAGAAATTTTAATGAAATTACAATTAAAAATACACTTGAATGACCTTAAAAACCTTAATCGTTTTGTTGACGTGAATCTATTTTTTTAGTAATTTAATAAAGTGGTATTTCAAAATTCAAATCTATTTCATACTAGTGTGTACCCACTACCCTAACACCTTGCTATTTGTTACCTTGTTTAAATAGATCAACAATTAACTTTATTGTTTGCAGTTTAGGTAAGTCTCTTTTATTTAGTGTGGTTTAATTAGGAAAGTCTCTGAATGCGCCCGCGAGTTAAATTAAATTGACCGTCTAATATTTACCTTGGCAAGTGGCGTACGTTTGATAATGTAATTTATTTATTCTTTATGCCCAAAAACATGTCACGTACAAAGGCGGACTTAACACCATTAGCATTATCTACCAGTCAACCACCCCAAGGTTCACATTAATAAAAAAGAATTTGCTCGACGCTTCTGCAAACACGATGCGACGTCAGGTTTTCCGGGGATGGCCACGCCTCCTTTTTCCTTGAGGTTTCCATTGCTTGTTTGGGAATGTGATCGGAATCTCTCCGGAGCGTGTGACCAATCCATTTCCCCTTGCGACGCTCGACTTGGCGGTCAATCGGGCTCTCGTGGCTTCTTTCTAACAGTTCTAAGTTAGAGATGGTCTCGGGCCAATAAATTCCGATGTGCGATGAGGGCATCGGTTGACAAAGACTTGGATTTTGCGTGAGATATCCTTTGTTACATTCCACTTTTCGCACCCGTAGATTAGAGCAGCACGGATTTTCAGTTTAATCCTTCGGGTCAGTTTCCGTGACTGGCAAATGGGTCTCGGTTGGGCAAGCTCGAGCTTTGGCGATTCATTAGGTGATGTCTTCAGCTCCGACACAACGCTCCCGAGGTGTGTAAATTTGTGGACGCGTTCCACTGCTTCTGTGCCAGTGCTATATTCTTAACCCCTGTAAGCGTCACCCGAGTCTTCCGGGTGTTAATTTTTAGTCCTGTTTTCGCTGCCTCCTGGTGTAGGTAGTTCAACTTAGCTTGCATGACAGCGTGTATATGACTTCTAATACTGGATCTTCGCATTCAATCCCGCGGTGCTCGTTTTTGTAGGTAGATGAGAGGCATAATTCCGTCAAGTACAACAATAAACAAAATAGGTGAAAGAACGCAGCCTTGGCGGACACCCGCGTACACAGCGATGGCATCAGAGATAAGGCGTGTCGTGAGCCACCTTACAAGAATAATTTTTGTGGATGTTTTCTAAAAAACGGACAATTTTCGGCGGCCCTCCAATGTCCAGAAGGCGGGACCAGATACTGAATCTCAAAGTATCAAAGGCCTTTTCGAAGTCGACAAAGGTAAGATAAATCATTCTGATGCCTGCTAAAGTATGATAAGGACAGGGATGATCTCTACTGTACACGGCCGGCTAGAACATGAAAATTTTGAATAATATTTATTACATTTTATAAAAAATCGTGTGTGTACTTATGTACGCACTTACTTTATACTGCTTTAGCATAGTAAAAGAAAAATAAAAGTTTATTCCTTTATGCCAGTGTTCTCTTACTCTTTGTTTGTGAAAAAGACATGAAATGCAATTGGTAACTTGAATTTTTGTAATGACAAAATGTTCTTATTTTTTGCTATGTACTGTGAAGTTCGTCGCTTTGCAATCAACTTTATCATGTCCCTATCGGTGTGCGTGCGTATCGACAGCAGCAATAAATTTACTCTCGTAATTTTTTTAATGGCTTTCACAAAAAAATACATCGATATTTTGGAACGATGTTAAATGTATTAAAGTTTTTCAAAAGCTAAAATGTATCCACTTGAATAGCATTCGGTTGACAAATAAATTTTTCCAAATTGTTGATCTTTATTTGTGCTTGTAAACTGGAATGTTTACCGGCAGGGCCGGATTTAGGGGAGGGCAACCGCGGCAACAGCCCCGAGGCCTCCATAATAGACGTGCCCCACAATAGAGACTTTGGAAAAAAATTCAAATTCAAACAAGTATACTATAGTAAACAACTTTTCCTTGCATATTTTTTTTTCGCGTTTTACTTTTACGTACAGTACTTTGTACAAATATGATTACATCAAATATTAACAGAAATCAATAGAAAATAATTTAGGGCCAAGGGGCCTCAACTCCTTTGTTTCCCCGAGACCTCTAGACCTCTAAATCTGGCCCTGTTTACCGGTCATGTTTATTCAACTTTGATGTGTTTATCATTCTTATTAAAAAAAAAAAAAAAAGCTCTAAACATGAGCTTGTGATCTGTATCGAATTCCACATCCATGAAGCTTTCATTTTTCCTATCTACTTTTGAGATGTCTTAATCAGTCGATTACGTAACACATTTGCGTAATTTTTCATTTTATAAGTACTGAACAATGTTTGGACATCCTTAATTCTCTCAGTACTTAACACAATTAATTGATATTTGATTGAAAAATGCGATGGCATGTTGTTTATTTTATTTGATCTTTAAAAAAAAAAATCTGTAGTCGGTTGATATGCCGATTGTATCTTTAACGCGCAATTAAAAATTAAATTTCCATAAAATTTTATAAAAAAAGCTACTATTCAAACTTTTTGTTTATACTTTTTTTTATAAAATAAGTCTTGCAATTAAGATTAGGTTTTTTTATGATTAATCTTTTCATAGGTCATTAAAATTTGTAGAAAAAGTACGAAAAGATTTTCGCCGCTGTAGGTATCGAATCCACGTCTTCGGCATTCGCGGCCTGACGTTCTAGTTACACTAAATCCTTTCCAGCATACCAAGAATTTCGAATATCGTTTTACAACGATAATTCGAACGAAAGTTGTCACCATTGCTTCTTAGAAATTTAAATTCTTTATAGTGCTAATCTTAGGTTAGGTTAGCTCATTGTTACGAAGTGTCACTAGTTTAATGCTTCTTACAAAATAATTAGGACGGACAACGGCTCTATGAATATTTTGACGTTTGACGAAATAAGTACAGTAATATTTTAATCTTAAAAAAAAATTGTTTGTCTGTCAAAGTGACAGAAAAGTATCAAATACTCAGATTTCGCGCTCTATACTTGAACAAGGATTTTGTTTATTTTTTTAAAATAAACGATAGTTATTTAAAACATTGTTTCCTTTATTAAATTTTGAAATATGATTGACGAAGATCACTTAACCGACTTAGATATCTCTGAAGTAGTTGACGATACAGATCAATATTTCAACACAGAAAATCAAGGGTCAGAGCCATTTGATCCGGAAATTTCTAATATACAAAATTCGGAAGATTTAAATTCTGAAGAAAATCCTGTGGTAGATAAGAAAACTCCAAACCAGAAGTCTGAAGTTATTCGTTCAACTAAGTTACCAATGGCCAGGATAAAGAATATAATGAAAATGGACCCTGATGTGACCATTGTTTCAGCAGATGCTGTGTTTTTAGTTACTAAGGCTGCAGTAAGTAAATACATATACAAATACATTTTTTTTATTTTGTTTTTACTTTTATTTCCACTTTCAGGAACTATTTCTGGAGACTATGGCTAAAGAAACATACACTTACACAGCTACAAGCAAAAGAAAAACCATCGCTAAGAAAGATTTAGATCTTGTTATTAATAAGGTGGACTGCTTATGTTTTCTAGAAGGTGCTATGGACTTTTGAAAGATCATTATCTGTTACGTTTTTATGTAAATATTTGAATAAAACAATTGTTTAAATTTATTATAGGTAAATTTATAATCATAATCATAATCATCTTTATTGTAATAAATAATAATATACAATAACAAACCTAATCATAAATATGCTATATTTGGCTATAGTTATAATAATATTATTAACAACAATTCTCCATGGTTTCAAAAACTACAGCACAATGACCTGAAATTGGTAGGTAAGCTTTCGATAGTGGTACTCTGAAAGAAAAAAATACATTAATTACAAATGATTGTATTCTAACCAATGCTGCATTATCTCCACATATATAAAGACTAAATTTGAAAATCTATTGATAACTATATTATACTTGTAATAAGTTTGTTAAGGTATTGACATTGGTGTTGGGGGTCATGGGTTCGATTTCCACACGGGACAACTATTTGTGCGATCCACAGATAGTTGTTTCTCATCTGGGTGTTTGTCCATATGCAATTTATGTTTGTAAAACATCCTTACAACTCAGGATAATGTTATCCTAAAGTGAGGGCAATGTTAAAAAAATTAAGAAGAAAAAATAAGAATCTTGGGCAAGCCATATCATTGTGCGTAAAGAAAGTTCGAAAACCCTATGCTTAGAGGATTCTTAGTAATTTGATGAGAATTTGAGGGTTAGGTGGTGAAGGTAAATCATATTTCAATCCTACTTTATAAGTATAGAATATTTGATCGTGATTCTGAAAATTTACCCCTTGTTTAACTGACAGTCCACACCGGAAGCAACAACTACCATCTTCTCAGGCAGCAGTCGCAGAGATGACAAGTTTACAATTTCATCTTCTTGAGAAAGGTTTATGATACCAACTATTCCCGGGGAGCCTGGTAGAAGCCTGTTTAGGACACATTATCATTTATAAAGCAATATTTTCATAAGCACCAAACATTTTAGTTGTGCTTAAATTAACGAAATAATAAACGTCTAAACCTTCATTTAATCTTTGTATGTACCAATAGTTTCGACTAGGTCGCGCCCCGTCTTGCCCGTCTACTGACGGTACATATAACTCTCTCTCACAACAATTTTAATAATATTATTGCTTGAATTTTATTTATAAATATCCCATGTTTTAATTTTAACAGACAAATCAGATAGTTATAAATACAATTGATTGTATTCATAAGTTAGTAAATCAAACATATTATTTAAAATTTGTGTAAACTTGGATATTCCATACCTAGTGACAACTAAAATTGATTCCGATAAAGCTCTAGTTTCTAAGTCTCCATAACGTGCTGCAGGTTTCTTTCTGATGGCCGCCAAATCTTTATAAAACTGTAAAAAGGGGTGTAAGAAGTAGTACAATTAAAAACTTGTGGACTCTGGCGCAGTTGCTAAGGTAATGAAGGTATTGACTTCGGCTTAGGGGTTTCATTCCCGCACGGGACTCCTATTTCATTGAACCACATATAATTGTTTCGCATCTTGGCGTTTGCCCACGTGAAGTTTATGTTTGTAAAACGTCTTTACAACACAGGATAATGATATCCTAAAAGTAAGAGCGATGTTTAAAAAAAAAAAAAGCAAAGAAAAAAATATTCAGCGATGTATTCTATATATTCTTTCAATGTATGTCGTGTTTCATTATAATTAACTATTAAGCTCTATCCTACTCGTATAAAGCTGTTCACTAGCGATGTTTGTTGGTGGGGTTGAAATAAATTTATAGCCAATAAACGTCCCACTGTTGGGCAAACGCCTCTTTGGACCTTCATTGTTTGGCGGACTTCACTAATATAAAAAAAAAATTGTTTTTTGTTTTTGTTTCCAAAATATGTAGGCGTTCTCACTATTTTCCTGATTTATGCTGTTAATTTCTATAAGGGTTGAGGAAATAAATAAGCATACTACCATTCTTCACTTCTTCGGACGACTCACCGTGTAGTGGGTGGTGCCGTTCAGCTGCGCGGCGAGATTGACGGTGCGGTAGTTGTCGGCTACCGGCAGCCACGTGCGGGCGGCGGTGGAGAAGCCGCCGTGGCGGGTAGCGTCCCATTGGTACGGGGTTCGTTCCGGGTCGCGCGAGGTGATTGCGTACCGCGCGGGGTCCGTGTCGCAGGCTTGCGGATCTCTGGTGTCCGCCCAACTCACGTAGCCATCCGTCATGCCGAGCTCCTCGCCCTGTCGGATGACCTTATCCTCCAGTGACCGACTAGGTCAAAGCTGACACTAACTTGTGACCAGGGGAATCTGTGGCGGATTTGCCCTGAGGCCCAGTAGGCCCAGGCCTGGGGCGGCCAGATTTTAGGTGCGGCTAATAGTGACGAGAAACTCAATGGTGATCACAAGAAACAACTCAAAGCACCTGAATATTCTAAAGGCTCGCGCAAATTAAGGCGGGTGGCCTGGGGCCTAGGGCGGCTAAGACAGCAAATCCGCCACTGTGGAATAGCAACTCTACCAAATATTACAGTAATCCTCGACGGGTTAAAAGCAAGAATAGCGTTGTCTCATTTTAAACAGTAACACTTAATGTTTATTTCCTCATTTGAAGCATATTTTTCGGTTAAATTCTACGAGCTCTCAACTGTCAACTTGTGACCAGTGTAATAGCAACTGTTTCAAATAACATGGAGAACATTGAAAAACCGTTTCTCTTAAAAAATCGACGACTTGAACACGAATGCTTCGAATGCTTGTAACAGAATAAGTTTCTTAGCGGAATACCTGATACGTGATCGCAATTCCTGGCAATATTAGCGCCAGCATGTTCATGGCGTCCACCCTGTCTACCCCCTGACGGGTGGCCATCCTGCTCTGGTCGTGGTTTCCATTCTGTTAAAGAAATCCAATAAATATATGTGCTGATCGGTCGTTTTGTTTGTCTTTCAGTTTCTTTTTGTTTTCACTTATTACACATATACTTTATTTTTACGATTATTATTATTTACGTAATAAGTTACAAAGAGTTATGTTTCATACCTTTCGATTTACGTTTCGAAAGTTATTAAAGAGTTTTTTAATAACAAAACATTTGCAACGCCCCTAGGGTAACTGATGTGTTACCGCCTTTTAATAGTGGTTTCCGTTTACCTCACTCACCAGACTGAACGCAGAAATACATGAACACTTCTATTTCACGCCGATCTTCTGTGAGGTCGCGGTGCTTCCCCGGTCGGACCCATTCGTTCAACAGCAAAGACTTGCGTGTCTCTACCACAGTAGACTTAGCCTTGTCCGCTTCCGCTTTAACTTGTCCTTTTTAGAACTCTTTAGTTTTACCTTGGCTCGTTCTTCCGCGTAGACAGGGCTGGGCGGCACTATCACAGGCGGTTAAAACGATTCAAACAACTCACCACCCAGTTGGCGCTCTTGCCGCTGGGCATATACGTCATCCACCTGTCGACGACGAGCTTGACGTCCCACGCGTTCGAGCGGTTGCTTATGTCTCCGAGGAAGGAGAAGTTGAACGGCACGGAGCCGTTCCGGCGGCCGTTGCCATAGTAACGGACCATGTCCGCCACGCTCGCGTACGCCTCCGTCATCATGATCTTCCGCTCGCCGTGCCTCTCCGTGTACTCGTCGAGGAGGTCCCGCCAATCGTACACCACGCCGTAAGTTTCGTTAAGGTTCTTCGTGTACACGTGGTCTAAGTAATCGTAGTCGTCGGGCGTCACCCCAGCGACACCTGGAGAGAGAGAGAAATAGTCGTGTAGTTTTAAATTGTTTTTTTTTTAACGTTCATAATATTTTATATCGCTTCTCTGGCGCAGTGTCTGGGTTATTGGCTTAGGTTAGCGAGTCGTGAGATTCTATTTAGAAATGCAATGATGAAATAATTCGTCGACAAAATACGGGAAAACTATGCATGTAGTGAAAAAAATTATTGGAACTTCACTGCTATTTTCTAGGTGAGACGAAATTTTATGAAAAACTTACACGGAATTTCGTTATTTTTTTAATCACTTAATTTTTGTTTCTTTGTCTATTTTTATATTATATATTTTGAAAAAAACTATGGACTATATTTAAGAACTACTTAAAACTATATTTCATTACAAAGTGCATAATCGTGGGTTCGTATCAATCATTATTAATATCAGATTTATCCACTGTTTTTTTTTTTAAATTAAAACATTGCCCTTACTTTAGGATAATATTATCCTGTAAGGACGTTTTACACACATAAATTTCACGTGGACAAACACCCAGATGCCAAATAACTATCTGTGTGTCGCACAAATAATTGTCCCGTGTGGGAATCGAACCCACGACCGCCGACGCCGAACCCTTGGCAACTGCGCCACGGAGTCAACTCAGATGGTGTAACCCGCCGCATTAAGTTTTTCCTTCGAGAGGTGACAACGAGTCAGCGATTCAAATACATCCCCAACACACTGAGACGCAGAACACTGAGAACATCACTGCAGGAGCAGAAAAAACAGGACTGCGGTACTAACGATTTTTTTAAATCCTTCATTTGGCGCCATTTTGATTTTTTATTAATATTAATATGACCAGTGCCAAGCAACAAAGACGAATCTAAAGACATAGCATTGATCAAAATTGGTCTGGCCTTTAAGCAGTTATCAGGGAACATAGGGTCGAACCCATACCTGCTGGTCAAAAATAACCCACATTTTCTAGCTTCCCTCAGTCGGATGAGAAGTTACCTGAGCGCGGCTCGTCCGGGTAACGGCCCCCGAAGTCGGACGGCTGCACCTCGTAAAGCATGTTGATGGCGTCCACGCGGAAACCCGCCACGCCCATGTCCAGCCAGAACCGGAGCACTTGCTGTTGACAACAGATTATAAAAAACTTTAATGCGAACTTGCTGTTGACACAACAGATTATAAAAAACTGCGAACTGAATTAGAAAAAGGGACCATGAACTGTTACTTGTCTGTTTCCCGTTAAAAGACATCACAAACCACCAACGTCCGTTGGTCTGTGCCGTTTGTGGGTCTTTTGGTTTTAGAGAAATAAAAGCAATGAATTAAAATACATTCTATTAAATAAGTTTCCACTTATTCTAAGGAGGATTCATATTGATTTTTGTTATTGAACTCACAACTATTTAATACTTATTTAAGAAAGTCGATCAACATCTCCGATTTTTCCCTTGTATAAATTGTTGTCACTATTTTTTTTTTAAATCCTTACTATCCTTACTAATATTATAAAGGCGAAAGTTTGTATGTATGGATGGATGTTTGTTATTCTTTCACGCAAATACTACTGAATGGATTTTAATGAAACTTTACAACAACATAGCTTATACATCAGAATAAGACATAGGCTATAATTTATATACATATTTTTTTGTATATCTGTCTTTCTGTCTGAATGTTATGCCTTCAGCCTATTCTACGCAAACGTAGTCGCGGGCGGCGGGTAGTCTATTATATTTTTAATGACTAATGATAACCTCGTGGCGCAGTTGCTAAGGTATTGGCTTCGGCGTCGGGGGTCGTGGGTTCGATCCCCACACGGGACAAGTATTTGTGCGACCCTCAGATAGTTGTTTTGCATCTGGGTGTTTGTCCTCGTGCAATTTATGTTTCTAAAACGTCCTTATAACACAGGATAATATTATCGTAAGGCAATGTTTTCACGAAAAAATAAATTGTCACTCCTTTTATTCCCTTGTATTCCACATGTAATATGGTGCGTGTGAATCGCACACTTTTGGTTTATCCAAACTTTTTCATACGTTATGTAGGGTCAAACCAAGCAAAATTTGTGCTATGGGTATTACCTATAACATATTTTTATTTTGTAAATAAATACATATTATAGACACATAAACACTCAGACACTAGAAAATACTATGTTCATGAAACATTACTTCCAGTAGTGGGCATCGAACCCACACCCTTTGGCGCAAGATATGGGTTCACTATCCACTATGCCTGTCGATACGTTAAAGTTAATATCAGTTGTGAGGTAGCTCGTTAGACGAAAGACATATTAATGAGCATTCATTCTAACTTTTTACACTAGTAGGGTATATCGTAATTATAAATTTTTAATTATCGCTTTATATTATTACCATGCCGCGTGGATTAGGTTTATATAATCGTAATTTAATTTTAATCTTGTAAATATTAGATCAATAAAGATTGTCCATTTGATGTACAGTGGATTAAACTTTCGCCTGTCATCAGCCACAATATAATTGAATACAATAAAAACAACTACCTATGGAGGTACTCTTGTACTGTTTGGAAAACAGGAAAACGATATTTTTTATGATAAAACCACCAATTTGATCCACCTGACTCATTATGGTAATAAAAAAACAAATGTTACCAATGTCCTACTGTATGATTAAGTATTAAATTTAAGAACGAGCTAATTATATTGCACTGGATAAAAAAGATATTCAACTGATTTGTTTGAAACAATATTCCATAGTACTTTTTACGTGCATTAGTGCGAATTAATGGTAATTAAAGCATAATACGGCAAACGCGGAACTTTTGGAATCTCGGGTATTTGAAATTCTTTGGGTTTTCCGGATACCCACATACAAGCTTAATGTTTTTGTTTACACGTTCATTATTTGCGAGGAAGTTATATAAAAAACTACAATGTTTAGTACAAGCATGTTCATTTTATATCACCAAATATCTTGAGTGATAATGAACTTTGAAATTAATAATATATAACTTGTAAATAACAATAAATAACTTAAAAAAATTATAACTTATACACAATACAATTAATTTCTTAGAGAGAACTTGCAGATCCGTGCAATCTCTTGGTAGGAACATTTTGTAACATTCAGACAGAAAGACAGATATACATAAAAATATGTATATACATTATAGGCTATGTCTTATTCTGATATATAAGCTATATTATTGTAAAGTTTCATTAAAATCCATTCAGTAGTATTTGCGTGAAAGAGTAACAAACATCCATCCATACATAAAAACTTTCGCGTTTATAATTTTATAGTAAGGATTACACAAAGTACACGATGGCAGTGTGTTCAGTTAGTGTGTGAGTATTGTCAACACATAAATCCTACACCAATCGTACCCGTCCCGGTAAATCGAAACAAATAGCTATAGCTTAATCAATAATATACACACCGGCACAATTAGCGGAACACAAAAAAAAGCAGGATTTTAAAATCTTTTACTTGAGGAACTGGCCAGTTATGATATTTTTTTAATTTATTGTCAAATTTGAAAATAGAAAATTAGATGACATACACTTTTTTCATTCATTTGTTTTATTTTCCCGAACAATACGTTTTGTCAACTTGTTCGAGTAATAACTACGTAATTGTATTTTTTTTTGAAAAATTGCAATTAATGGTATTTTTTAAATTTTTTCAGGGTTTTTATAAAATTTGTTATAGGCAATTTTGTTAATTAAAAGCTCTTTATTATGCCTGACTTAATATCACTGGAAATCATTAGGGCTGATGAAATGAGGAGAAATGGCCATACCTACAGATCGATTGCCTCAAGGCTTCGTCGACCAGTATCAACGATTCATCGCAGCATCCAGCGGTACAGATCGTCTAATTCTCTTGTGAGGAGGAGGGGTCAAGGTAGAAAAAGATGTACATCGAGGCGAGATGACAGTTTTTTACAACTTGGAGTTCGTAGGAATACGCGATTAACGGCTGTACAAGCTCGAAATGAACTGGAAGACGTTCGAGGAGTACGAGTAAGTGAGCGTACAGTTCGCAGGAGATTTAAAGAAGTTGGTTTAGGGTCGTATATACCTGCCAAAGGCCCAAAACATGAGAGACGTCACCGCGTAAACCGATTAAGCTATGCGCGAGAACATCGTCATTGGGATTTGAACGAATGGCAGCAGGTTCTCTTTACTGATGAGTGCAGAGTTCTTTTAAAACAGATCGATGGGAGACAGCGAATATGGAGACGCAAGGAGAACGCCACATACAGTCTAATTTTGAACACACAGTGGCTTATGGTGGCGGCTCGATTATGGTTTGGGGAGGGATATGTTTGGGAGCTCGCACGGAGTTAGTGATAGTCACAGGAGGGACCATGACCGCGGATCGATACATCAGAGACATTTTAGAAGAACATGTTGTACCATTTGCCCCATTTATTGGTGACGACTTTATTCTAATGCAAGATAATGCTCGTGCTCATAGTGCACAATCGGTACAGGCATATCTGAGCCACGTAGCTATACCGGTGATGCAGTGGCCAGCAAATTCCCCCGATATGAATCCGATAGAGCATGTCTGGGACTTGCTAAAAAGAAGGGTTAAATCCAGAATGCCACCCCCCCAACAATCTGAATGAACTTGGAAACGCATTACTTGAGGAGTGGGGGCGGTTGCCTCAAGAAATCATCGATAACATAATCTGTAGCATGCCCAGACGAATGGAAACCGTAATCAGAGCAAGAGGGGGAAACACTTGTTATTAATTTTGCTTTAATTTTATTGTTAAATCATTTAATGCTTACTTTTTGTATTTTTTGTGATGGTTCATAATCATCTAAAAATTTCACTTATTTCAAATTTCTTTATTTTTCAATAAAAAATAACGAAGACTTTTCAAAGTCGTTGTTAAAAGATGTTAATCAATTTGTTATTTTGTGACTAATTACATTTTCGCCAAATATATGCGTTATTATCTCATAGTCTCACTTTTTTTTCTGTTCCGCTAATTGTGCCGGTGTGTATATATGGAACATCCTGTAGTGAGTGGTAAGTTAATCGCTTAGCAATGTTAATGGGTGATATAAAGCCGGTAAGAAATATCTTTACTTTATCCCACAGACTAAGCAATAATATATGAACAGAGTTATTTCACACTGTAACTAGCGAATTATTTTAATCTAGCAGAATTTGCACTTTTTCCACCTATCGCTGTTGACTTTAGTTATTCACAGATCTGTTTTGTTAAGTTTGTTCTTTAAAGAAGAATACCCCTGAAAATAGAAATAGACCGTTAGGTAGATGTTATCGGTATATTCCATTTACCTTCATCTCTTCCTGAACACTGGGCTCGCGGTAATTGAGGTCTGGCTGACCGACCACGAACTGGTGCAAGTAGAACTGACCCCGCTCTTCGTTGTACTCCCAGGCACTCTTGCGGAAATTGCTAATCTGTTAATAAAATAAGCATTATAAATGTAATTAAAAATGAAACAATAATCGTTATGTTTCAAAATGTAATAATCGTGAATAAATAATTAGTATGAACATAGTTGGTCGTTAACAGAACAATATCGATGTATGTACGTCAGATTTGAAGGAAACAACTGGGAACAATCCTATAATATTATTAATGTAATTAATCACTGCATAGTATAAAACAATGTCGCTGTCTGTCTGTCCCTATATATGCTTAGATCTTTAAAACTACGCTACGGATTATGATCGGTCTTCTCTGTTGCACGAATGGCAGGTCCGTCCGGGTAAGTAACACAAGAGCGGCGTGAAGTAGAAGTGTCACACTTCTGCGTTTAGTCTGGTGAGTGTGGTAGCCGGGGCCCTCTTTATTAAAAGGTGACAACGTATGTACAACCCTACGGGTGTTGAAAATGTCCATAGGCGGCGACATCATAATATCAGGTGAAACGCGAGCTCGATTGCAATATTCTCACATAAGTAATACACTGGTCATAATGTAGACTATGCTTACGCGTTTATACGTGCACGCTGGAAACAAGTAACAGTTAAAACAAGTCCATCTTTACTATCGAAAAACAAAACCGACTGTAAAATTTTTCGCTCCGTATTCATTTTATAATTGATTTTCAGGAGCTCGCTAAGTATCGCCGGAGCCCAAGATCCAACACCAACGACATTGATATGGGACCACATGGCAAGTACCAGCCTTCAAATAAAAAACGAATCATCACAATCGATTCACTATGTTCTGAGGTAACGAACATAAAAAAAAATACAGTCGAATTGAGCACCTCCTCTTTTTGTGCCGGTAGAAAATATATCGAACTAGCGACCCGCCCCGGCTTCGCACGGGTGCAATGTTATACATATAAACCTTCCTCTTGGATCACTCTATCTAGTAAAAAAAACCGCATCAAGATCCGTTTCGTAGTTTTAAAGATCTAAGCCTACATAGGGCCAGGGAGACAGCGGTACGACTTTGTTTTTTTTTTATTTCACTTTGAAAATGGAACGGGGAATTCACCCAGTTGCTGGGCGGCAGTAAGGCCCCGGGATGGCGCGGGTCTGGGACGCCGTCCGCCCACACGTAGTAGTCCCGGTATTCCGGCTCCCGTCGCACGGAGCGGACGAACCAGTCGCTCTCGTTGCTCGTGTGGTTCGGCACGAAATCAAGCACCACCCGTATGCCTGAAACATTACAGAAATAGAGCCGAGTTTCGCGGCGGTAGGGCCGCGCAGCAGCCTCGGCTGTTGCACGAATGGGCAGGCTCGTCCGGGTAAGTACCACGACCTCACAGAAGACCGCCGGTATAATTTTCGCGTTTCGTCTGGTAAGTGAGGTAGCCGGAGCCCAATTTTCATAAGGTTCTCAACGCACCTGGAACCCTCGGGTGTAGCAAATGTCCATGGGCGGCGGTTATTCAATTAATATCAGGTGAACCGTCTGCTCGCTTGGCAACTTTTCACATAAAAAAAGCCGAGTCTCCTAAAGTGTTCCATAGGGACCGCAGGGTCATTGGGATGAACGAATGTTGCTTTTAATTTATTCACGATGTCTAAATTTACGCAAAGTCGTGGGCTACAGCTGTTGCAATATAAAAGTGTCACTTTGCGGAAATACATTGAAATAATAAATGACACCACATCGATTTATGTTTCTGATTTATCTCGGACATAGCAAAAATCGAATGGTAATATATTTTTGTTTAATACTAACTAGACATGAGGTGAACCCATAAGACTTATTTCATCAGTAAGTACAAAAAAATATCTTACATGTTTTTACATTACATTTTATTAAACATGGCTTATGCGCCAACATTACGAAATGTTTTTCTGTTAATTTTTACTAAAGCGGACTTCCCTCGTTTTTCGTTTTTTTGAAAATCTGGCAGAAAAACTTGTTATCACAAAATGGAAAATAATTGCCTGTTGTCCATATTTTTTTATTTCTCTTCTTAGCTAATACCATTGATAGTTTTATTATTATTTTTATCAAGAATTTTTTGTTTTGTTATTCAAGAAATTGAGTATTAGCGAAGTAATTTTGATATCAATCTTTTTAGGATTCCGTATCCAAAGGGTAAAACGGGACCTTATTACTAAGACTCCGCTGTTTGTCTGTCCGTCTTTCTGTCTTTCTGTTTTTCCGTGTTTCCGTCTTTCCGTCTTTCCGTCTGTCCGTCTATCCGTCTGTCCGTCTGTCCGTCTGTCCGTCCGTCTGTCCGTCTGTCCGTCTGTCTGGCCAGGCTGTATCTCATGAACCGTGATAGTTAGACAGTTGAAATTTCCACAGATAATGCATTTCTGTTGCCGCTATAACAACAACAACCTCCTATATAAAACATGATTTTTATCGTTTTTATAGATAATAGTGCGGAACCATACGAGCGCGAGTCCGACTCGCACTTGGCCGGTATTTTTTTCAAATTCACCACGCAGTTCACGCGTAGTTAGATCAAAATATAAAGCATTTCGTTCTTGTTTTCGTATTATTTAAAAATTTAAGCAAATGAGGAATTTATATCTCAATGATAACATCTTCTATTTTTCAAGCTGTTCTTACTACGCGTTATTTGGAGCCAAACAAAGTAGAAAACAGGTAATATAACGGCGCACGTTTGCAAAAAACGCCTGTAAAATATGGCAAATATTTGTCTCTATTTTACTGACGTTACTGCAACTCATTTCTCGCCGTCGAACGTCGCAATCTTATAAGCCAGTTAGAAATTCGTGGTGTTAGAGTAATCGTTTGTGGCGTAAAAGAACAGTGCCTAGTTAGGACAAGATTGCAAACCCGCAGCCTCTTTTTTTCCTGGAAATCTCCCCGCTGTAGTTCTATAATGTTTATATTTCTACGTACCTATTACCTAAACTTAATTTTACTTTTTATATTATAGTTAAGCTGACAAAATTACATCCTTTATCGGCAAAAGGCGTTCAATCTTAGTATAGCTAAGAGAATACGAACAATCATTGCATGAACGTAACGTTAACTGTTTAAGTTATATTTATTACGAAGCTGTCGATTAGCAACACGGAATTGTTTAACAACTTGCGGAAGTGCGAAGTTTGCACTACGAGGAAAGCTATTAGAAATAATTTATCAAATGCGTTTTCCTTGGTCAATATGGCCTTTGCCTTGTCGAGTAGACAGAGTATTGTCGTCGATGCTTTATGACGTGACGTGATTTCTGATGTTCAGCTTCCGATCGAGGGTTATTTTCCTGTTCTACCCAAGGGTAGTGAACAGTTGCCTTCGGACGAGTTCTGCATGTAAAGGAATCCTCGCCGAGTTTTTTGGCAGATCGGAGCACCAAGGTCGTGGTCGACGGAGCACGTTCTCATCCTAAATTTGTCAATGTCGGTGTTCCATCGACGACGATATAACTACGATAAAGCTATTTCAGGTCGGCTTGAACCTTTGTCTCTGCGTAGAGATGTTGGATCACTGTGTATCGCTTCTAAAGCATTTATCACGTGGAATGTTCCAAGGAATTGTTCGGATTGATACCGGCCGCTGTATTTCACCATCGGACATCGCAGAAATACCATTCACACCACCTCTATGTCCAGCGTTCTACAACAGCGCGATTTTTAAGGCATTTTCTGCCTCGCACAACCTCTCTGTGGAACCAGCTGTCGCTGGCGATCTTTCCGAACCGTCACGACCTGGGAAGCTTCAAGGAGAGAGCATTCTTTCCTGAAACGCATTTTCAAACCCTCCGGTGTTGCAGATGTTCATGGGCGGTGGTGATCACTTTCCAACAGGTGCCTGCCCGTTTCCCCCTTTTTCCATTAAAAATATATATTCGGATAATACAAAGGAGCTCATTATTAAGCTGTAGTTAGTAGTATGAATGGCATCGTAATTGAGCAATTGTTGCCTAGATTTGAACTATTATATTATGTATAAAATTTACTAAATCAATTTCTAAATATTTTTGTTATATTTTTTTAAACCTAAACATTATCAGTGACTAGTAAGGAAGTGATCTAGTCTTAGATGTTAAAAGTACTACCTCAATAAAAAGCACATTAAATCTTGACTTGAAGACACTGACATCATACTTGAACGAGAAGACTGTCTTTTGCTATACGCATTACAAAAGTTGAGGTTATCGTTAATCGATCACGGATAATGTAGTCAATAAAAGGTCTCCTTTTTTTTCTCAGCGTCCAGTTGTCCCATTATAAAAGGGGGAGGGAGGAAATATTTTAATTTCCCTTCACGAATATACTCCAAAATATAAGAGAACGAGATAATCTACGCGCCTGTGCCTGAAAATGGGTAGATAGGCTCTTACTACGCGGTATTTACAACTTCACCTTTTTAACACTTTCGAGAGCCACCAATAAGTTTTTAAAATACTAAAAATTATTACAAATATAAATTCAAACTCCCCAAGAATCAACACGATCATTCAAACCAATACGATACATCGTTGATTTGAATTAAAGATGATTTAATATTTTTATAGCTTCATTGTTTTTCATATATGAAACTTTTAATGTGTTCGTTTTTATTTCGTAGTTTATTTGCAATGCTGTGTTCAATGAAACGAGATTTCAAGTTACAATAGAATCTGAAAATATTGGTTGTAGATTTGCGGTATGTTTTACTTTCAATGTGTTTTTGTTGAAATAAAAGTGACAACAAAATAAGAGTAACTCTACACATTTACGCTCTAAACATTATCTCAATAGGTTTAATTAGAACAAACATTTATGAAACCAAACAATGATTTAAAGAATCGTATGGTTTTCACGTAGGAGTGTATGAAACGTAAACTAGTTCACATAAATAAGATCGTTAATGAATGAGCATTGAGCAGGCATTGCCACATATTTATTTAAACGGGATCCCTTAAGAAAATAGAGTTAAAGGCAAGTGAAAAAAACAGCATTTGTGTATACTTATGACCCACAGCAGTACAGCGTGTATAAAGGCATAGTGGACCACGCGACTCGCCAGACTATATATCATCGAAGTAATTTTTATAATTACTGTTTCAAAAATATGATATCCCTCACAATGTTTCGCCCCTGAACACGAAATAAATCAGCACTTAAAATTGCAATTAACAATTACATTGGTACTGGCAAAGGATTTGAACTTAGGTCGGTCGAAAATATTGATTAGCGAGCACCCGGACAATGAGCTATCACGGCTCAACTCAAGAGAACACAGTAACGTTAATTTTTAGGGTTCCGTACCTAAAGGGTAAGTCGGGACCCAATTACTACGACTCCACTGTATATTTGACTGTCTGTCTGTCGTCTGTCACCAGGCTGTATCGTATGAACCGTGATAGTAAGACATTTGAAATTTCCACAGGTGATGAATTTCTGTTGACACTATAACAAAAAATACTAAAAAACAGAACGAAAAATATCTAATAGGGCCTCCCATACAACAGACATGATTTTTTTTAGATAATGGTACGGAATAGTTTACGGAACAGTTTTTATAAATAATGGTACGGAACCCTTCGTGCGCGAGTCCGACTCGTACTTGGCCGGTTTTTTAAATTACGAGCAGAACTCGCTGCGCTAATCACTTGACATCACGCGAACCGCACGCTCGCTGGCCGAATTTTCACGTAAAAAAACTCACCCAATTCCTTGGCCTCTTTCATCAGCACATGGAAGTCCTCCATCGTCCCATACTCGGGCGCTATTTCACGATAGTCAGCAATATCGTAGCCGAAGTCATACATCGGAGAGAGATAGATGGGTGACAGCCATATTGCGTCCACACCTGTCTCTTTCAGGTGGGGGAGTTTCTCCCTTATACCTGCAGCAACAAGATCGAATAAATTCTTTGTCATGTGACTTGTCATTTTGGACTGTATATTTCAGGAAGCCCATCCCTATTTTAATGCTGTTTTAAAATAATTTTCATTCACTACGATTAAATTTGGATACACATTTTTATATCCCTTTAGTGGGAAAGATCGTCGTGCGTTATAGAGGCGTTTTACGTCAACAAAGTTTTAAAAACTGAAATAAGTTGAAGCACAATGATATTATATACAAATACGAGGTAGATATGACACTAGAGCACCGAATGCCTCCGTTTCGGACAGACTTGCGTCACCAGCCTTACGGTCCTGATCGAGCACAGATATTCCCTAAAATAAAAAATCAACTGATACGTATATACCAAAAGCTGGGAAATAGAAATGCGGCTGTGGTGTAAAAAAAAATTCATAGCTTAAAATTTTTTTTCATGAGATTAATTTTTATTTTTAGTCCTAGTATCTGCACTCAAGATTTAATTTAAAAATTTGATTTAGAACTTCAAATTGTAAATTTTTGTAGATAGGTAATTGAGAAAAAAAGTTTCGTCTTTGTTCATTTATGTACAAAAATTTACAATTTTTTTTTTGAGTTTCATCCTGATTGAAAAAGGTAAGCTTGACGTTTTTCTAAATCTAATCTTTAACTTATATAATAGATTGCTTTAATTGCTAACTTTCGATGGCGATGTAGACAGATGGAGATTCTTACACTTCACTCAAAATTGCTTGTTTGTTTGATAAATAGTTATTATCATATTCAGTCAGTTACATATCAGGGTTAACCTGTCCGTTTAACAAAAACAAATCAACTCGGGGTTAAATTAGAAACGATGCAATCGTTTTACATAAAGGTAAAGTGCTCATGAGGCGTGAAAGATAAAAAAAATCCGCACCAAAACAACTGATGTTGAAATAAAATATTAAATTTTGTTTGTGATAACTTGAGTTATATTTAGCGAGTTTAATCTATGTATGCTAGGATGTTTTATAACACTAACTACAATAACACTAAATAGGATAACATTTAAAATTCACACAACCTGAGATATTTAATAAATAAATAAATAAAGGTATTTTCTTTCATACTAATTTCATATTAAAACGTCGTGACGAAATCTGCAAATTTTCGAAGTAATAACAAAAATAATATTTCGAAAATATGTGAAGTCCGCCAATCCGCAGTGGGGTCTTTCGAGAGGAGGCTATTACCCAGCAACGTGACATTTATAGGCTGATTGTTACTTTACTTTAATAGTTTTTAATTTATTTAACTAACATCACTAAGGTTTTTGTAACTTGACATTAGAAAAAACAATAGCAATTTTTTTTAAGTTCTAGGTATTTACAATTTATTATTTTAAAAAAATATAATTTTATGGTCTTACCGTTTAGGTCTCCAATGCCGTCGCCGTCGCTATCCTTAAAAGACCTTGGGTAGATTTGGTAAATTAGCGCCGTTTCCCACCAATCATGATCAACGGCGGTCGTCACCGACACGATTAGCAGGATTAGGACCCAAACTCGCATTTTCAGTCTGTTCTCCTCACTTTCGTTTAGATTTTTAATCTGTATTCGCGTAATTATTTTTAATCTGTTTCCGTCCTTTCGCGCGCGACTTATTCAAAAGTAAAAAAGCCTACACTCTATACGACCGATCACAGAGCTGTTTCAAGAGTAACAGTGGGCCAGCAATTCTGCGTTTCCTTTAATAGCGACCCGAGCACATACACAAGGTGAATTCTGTTTGGATACACTAAATTTTTTGCTGTTATTCTGTATGACAAAGAATCTTTAATTAATTTTTAAGGCGCTGTATGAAGTCTAAATAGGCTTTCAAAAATTTTTTGAAAAAAATTTACATTTTAAGCAGCAATTATTATTCAAACCACGTACCGATAAATTTATACGATAGAAAGAATCATGAAAATAACCTTATAACAAACAAACTATATTACATTTACATGATGAAATCTTGACATAATTAATTCTATCATTTACTTATGTAAAATATTTCAAGATGTAGTTTTGTTGATTTCATTTTCCGATTGAAATGAGGGTTAATAAAATTAACACTAACGGATTCGGACAATCGAATTAATCCTAACGTTATCATATGTTATCAATAAAGTTAAAAGAAATGTGGACAAACAGTTCATCATCAAATAAACCAACTTTTCGTAATTTATAATTGTAACCTGTTGTTTTTAATACCTTTTTTATTATATTTCATTGTTTTAACTTTTTAGGCTCAACTTTAAGGAATTGTACCTATTGAAATAAAAACAATTGGTCAATATTTCTTTAGTATTTTGTGAATTTTCTAAATTTTTTTACTTCAAAAGAAATAATTACATATGAATAATAAACCCAAACCCCCAAAGATTGGAATCCGGTGACTAGCTGCCGACTACCCCACGCTTGGACCGCTCAGTGAGCCGACCTTGATACTGGGTATCTACTATGGATAATTGTTACGGCATGTCGATGTATGAAATTTCATCGGTTTCCTTAATTTAATTCTAATTACAGAAGTAAAAAACTATCGTGTTCTTGTAAAAGATAATAACATCTGTGTTTATTATTTGATAGCCCTCACTATCGATAGTATCCAACCACTAATAGATGAACTTCGTGTGTTCCCTGCTTTACCACCCCACTTAAAAGGCGTTGCTTGCATGCATACTGCATGAATTAACACTGTTAAATTTCGACGAATTAATCTTATTACTCTCCTAAAATAAGTCTTTCTCACGGTGAATAAATAGAATGTCACTATTAAAATTTCACTTATTCAATAACAACTTGAATTAGTAAAAACGAAACTAAAGCGAACTATATGTGACAGTCGAGATCAAAATTATCGAAAGCCGCATCGTTTACTCCTCCGATGCACCGAGCTCGAGATACGTCCCCGCGAGCGAAATTTTCGTTGGTAGAGCGAAATTTTCGTCGGTCTTTCGTATTTCGAATTAAGATATACCACGTACGCCCGCTCACAGCGAGCTTCGCGACACGAATGGCGTTGCGTGCGAGACGCGAATATTTGGTACTTCCTGCTGAGTGACTTGTAAAATGTTTATATACTACATGTCCGGTGAACCACACACTTAATCTGTACCTCAGAGGCATACAATAGTAACTACACATTTTAGAAAATTTTTTTCCTTACATCATTAAAATAGCAAGAACAAATTCTACCCAGTATAAGTATTAAGTCCTACGAAGCCTAATTGATGAAATATCCAATCACATCACGCTTTTCTGCCTCTCCTGTAAAATTTGTGTTTTGTCACATAATGCTGTTTACCTCTTACCTCTTAAGGCACAGAATTGCAGCTGTTTACCTCTGAGGTACAGAATTGCAACGTTGAAAGTTGTCCTACGTCAGCTTAAGCGTCCTATATAGGTTTTGTTACGATTCAAATCGAGAGCTTTCTTATCCCGAAAGCTGTCAACGCCCAACAATAAGTTGCAACAACAATTGCAACAACAAACAGTTGCAACAACAATTGAACGAGTGTTCAATTGTTGTTGCAACTATTATCACTAAATGTTACAAATATTAATTTTACACATTATAGCATATGGCAACGTTATTATAACTCTTCCTCTGCCACTCCGGCGATCCCGGGCCAAATACACGCTTGTAACTTGTGACTTTTATTAATTACTCCGCTCCACGAACACCAGCACCTATCAAGATAAAGGCAGTCCAATCGCCCTACAATTGTACAATTTCTTTTTGCTACACCAAAGTGTTTACAAGTGCAAATTCGTAGATTTAAGGCCCATTTACATGGTGCCAGTTTCTTGCCTGTTTTATACAATTAAATTGAAGCAATAAATGAGTTGCATGGTCTAAACAACAAATGGTCAAAACAATTATTGCGCGCAATTTATTGCATTCAATTATTGCTCTTGTATGTACAAGAAAATGGCATCGTGTAAATGGGCCTTTACTATTGTTCAAACGTACCATAATCAATTTAAACGCCTTATTTTTATTTGACAACTCGATTGACGCAGTAATGATAAAACTCTGCCTCTTGCCGGAGGGTGTGGGATCGATCTTCACTATTGCAAAAATATTGTGAGTTGAACAAAGTGTCTTTCTAGTGTCTGGGTTTATATACTCGCTATCTATGTGTATTTTTATGTAAGACGTTGACGAACGGTCTCCATTATATGAGGATAAATCGCTTTCCGAATAGACCGATTAAATACCGATTAATACAATTGGGTTTTTGATCTGTAGCGTATGCATATGATTTAAATAAATATCTAAATAATTATCTGTGCAAAAGTCGCAATAAAAGTAAAAAATGGTACGACATACTTATTTGATTTGTCCAACTCAAGGAAAAACTGAAGTATATTTATGTTTATGTTTAATAAATCAATCACCGAGTGAATCGTGTAACAAAAAAAAAGGTACGCTATAAAATGATTCACCAAGTTATTATACCGTTCAGTGTTCTGAACCATTGAAATTAATCTAAAATGGCACAGTGACATACTGTTGCTTTTTATATCACCAATTTTAATATATTTTTTAAATATAAATTGTAGTCGCCCAACAGATATTGCAGTGGCGTGCACTAATAATAACGGATTTTGTTATTTGCCAATAACAAAATTCTATCCTTTCATTGTACACATAATGGCTTGACATAAAATTGTTTTAAGTTCCCGGGCCATTGTAGATATCTGCATTACCTCAACCAAACAAGAGTGAAATTATTTAAAAGCCATTTAATTTAACAGTATTTTCTTCTATCGCACCTTTTTACTCATTTAGATGTTAGAAATCGTAGCTAATAAGAGTTAAAATTATCAAACTTAAATAATAGTTATTGCAACTTACATTGAGTTATCCTATCTGCTATCGACCTCTTACAACAGTCTTTGATAAATGCAGCAAGTTTGGTCCTTCCAGCCGGATACACCCCATCTACAGATTTACCCTGATTTTTTCAGCCCTCAATCACATTCGAAATTCTACTTGGTATAAAGCCTAAAAACGTTTTAACTAAACTAGTCACAGTAAGGACATAATTACAATTAAGTTTCGAGTTCGACGCCCGGTCGACGCACCAGTTGGCGAAAAATAATCTCGTTCTCAGGCGCGGATGTTTTGTTAAAAACCCGTGTAAGTGACATTGCACACGAACTTTTGGCGACATTTGCCACACATATTGCATAGGGCAAGGAACTGCAGAGGAACATCTGTAAGTACCTACGTACCTTAACCGGTATTTCGCTCTGGTTGGAAATAAGTTTTTTTCGGAATGCAACCGCAGCAGTTTATTATCGGTCACTGTCGAACAAATGCGTCGATCGACCCGAATGTATCGAATTCCCTTTAAAATATCCAAAAGCCTCCAAAAATCCTTAAATGGACATTCAGCTCTTTTGCAGAAAATAAACCTATAGTTCAATCGATACTCCACTTACCTCGTAACCTCGATAGCACTTTAAATGAAAAGTTATTTGGGGCCTTTTCAAATTGCTGCGATAACCGTTGAAGCAATACGGTAACGTAGCCAATTCTCTTTTTTTGTGTGAGAAGCTGACAATAGAGCAGACACTTCACCTGATATCTAAAACACATGATGGGTTGGCAGATGCGTTACCGACCTACAAAATACTACTTCCAAATACTTTTCGCCTGCCTCTCGTGGGCTCTTGGGAAACTGTTGCGTGGCCCCTGGTTTTTATTGGTTTATTGCTACGAAGAATTAATATAAGAAACATCTAACAGAAACAAGTTTTTGTTTATTTCAAAGAGGACATCAATTGTGTTCTGATATGCAAAACTGTCCCTTATTTCTCAAATCCGAAATCTGTGGCGCAGTGGCCAAGGCATTGGCTTCGGCGCCGGGGGTCGTGGGTTCGATCCCCACTTGAGACAACCATTTGTGTGACCCACAGCTAATTGTTTCGGATCTGGGTATTTATCTACGTGAAATATATGTAGGTAAAAGATCCTTACAACAAAGGATAATGTCATTACTACAGTAAGGGCAATGGTTTAAAACCAAGTGCGAGTCGAACTCGCGCACGAAGGGCTCCGTGCCATTATCTATGAAAACGGAAAAAAAATCATGTCTGTTGTATGCGAGCCCCACTAAAATATGTTTTATTCTGTTTTTTAGTATTTGTTGTTATAGCGGCAACAGAAATACATCATGTGGAAATTTCAAGTAACTATTAAGGTTCATGAGATACAGCCTGGTGTCAGACGGACAGATAGTCAGACAGACAGCGGAGTACTTAGTTATAGGGTCCTGTTTTACCCTTTGCGTACGGAACCCTAAAAAAAAGGTTATTTCTTTTTCTTTTTTTTAAAGAAACAAAGATCGATGTGTTCGATGTTTTTTCTGCAAAAATATCGAAAGTAATTTTTCTTAATAAGACAGGTTTATCATGCCCAATTTCAACATATGCAAGTAAGCTACTTTAGATTCTATAAAAGCATTTAATGACGCAAATAAAAAGAAAGTGCGTACAAAATGTACGATTTTTCG